CAAAGAGAGCTAGTATATCGCAAATAGAGGTGTAACGATTTGGTGTAACAATATGATTTGTATCCTGATACAGTACTTTGTGTTATAAAAGTTGATACTCTTTCTTTTGGCATATACGTAAATGACACACTGTAGTAGGTGTTCCACAGATTTCTCTGGGCATGTTCAAAGGCTGATATTCGGCACCAAGTCCATTACAAAGGTCATGAAAAATTCCAATTTGAGATTAAGTTTTTCTTATTTATGCTAATCATGTTAATATACATGATACCCATAACGATCCGGGGTAGATCAGGTATTCAGCAACCCATGCTTGCCGTGAAAGGCGACTATGCTTGTTGTAAGAGGCGACTAACAGGATCGGGTGGTCAGGCTCGCTGACTTGGTTGATGCATGTCATTGTATCCCAATTGCTTGGATCGATGCTCATGATGTCCGTCACCAGTATGTCTTGTCCAGACGCAATTATTTACAGACTGATGTCATATAGCTGGAATATTGCTGAGTGCGTTTAACAACAAACAAACAAACAAATAATATACATGATATAGTAATATCCAATAGTATTTCACTGATAACAGAGCCAATACATAGGAGAGACACTATTGTATTGAATACAATGTTAGAATAGTTCTGAATTTGACAAAACAAGAACTTTTAAAAATTCCTAAATTTGCACAAAATAATCATAATTTTCCCAATTTGCCTGTCAGACACTTCGTTTACTCCTAGAAAATTTCCTGTTTTCAGTATACACCATGACAAGGTCTGACAATATGTCAGGCAGCTGAAACAGGAGACTAGGGCGGGGGACAGATGTAGAGGCTGCTTGTGTAGGTGGGCAGGTTGTGTCAAATATATGTGTCTGTTGCAGCCAGTTGACAGACTTTATTGCACCTTGGGTTGAGGGGATCAAAGGCAATGGGTTTTATTGGACATCATGTATAACAATTTCCAGATATACTTGAGCATGTTATTGGTGTTTGACGTTAATTTTTGTTTTCACAGTTCGCAAAGATGATCTGCTACACAGTTGACATCTAACTTATAGTAAACGTGGTAGCCCACAAGGAAATGTCACATGTCCCTGGTACTTCCTACATGTTCCTCTTCTCGGATGAGTGGACTTGTTACTTGTAAATCCTGGTTACTATTGTCACTACTTTATATTTATAGGACAAGCAAAATTACCGTGATCCAATGTCTTGAACAAATCTAGTATATTATAACATTATCCTGATTTAGATGAATATGGTTTTAAGCTCCTCGAGAGAGAAAAATTCACAATATTCGTAGAAAGCACTGAAATCCCATGCTCCGTAATCAGCTTCCAAAACAACTGTTTGGGGACATGGCCTAAAGGTACCGCCACAGTTACAACTGTTTTCAAAGGCTGATATGTTTGCACATTTATCTATGTTGTGATTCTTAGCCGTTATACATATTCTGTTTCTGTTATTTCTGTTAATTCTGTTAATTAAAATAACAACTAAAATTGGTAAGTACCGCAAGCATTTTATTACTTACATCCTGTTTGGGGGATAAAACACCAGCTGCCCTCGGCCCTATTCCACACAATGAATGTCTGTCAGGGATTAATCCCCTCAGTAAACAACCGAGGCACCTTCAGTGTTGTTGCAAAGGTGACATAAGTTGTGCACAAGTAATCAAATAGATGAGCAGCATAATGTACTAAAAAATCCGAGGCAGAAGCAGACAAACTGGGCGTTAGCCAAATCATTGAAACACATCAAACACCCGAACCTGTTTTAACCCCAATAATGGGATTCCCCTTAGTGGTGGAATTTTTTGTTTATGGGATGATCTACATAAATCTATAACCATGATAAGAAACCTTCATAATATCAGTATGTTAATGTGATACTCAATTCATAATTTGCAGTGATATTCAACTGACAACTCCTTGCAGCCCATATTATCATGCTAACTGTCAATTTGAAATTAATGAATTTGAAGCCAATTAATTCATTACTGTGAATTGACTGTGATTGCAGCATGTTAACTGTGAATTGACTGTAAATGCAGCATGTTAACTGTGGATTGACTGTGATTGCAGCATGTTAAATGTGAATTGACTGTGATTGCAGCATGTTAACTGTGAATTGACTGTGATTGCAGCATGTTAACTGTGAATTGACTGTGATTGCAGCATGTTAACTGTGAACTGACTGATTGCAGCATGTTAGCTGTGAACTGACTGTGATTGCAGCATGTTAACTGTGAATTGACTGTGATTGCAGCATGTTAACTGTGAATTGACTGTGATTGCAGCATGTTAACTGTGAATTGACTGTGATTGCAGCATGTTAACTGTGAACTGACTGTAAATGCCGCATGTTTACTGTGAATTGACTGTAAATGCAGCAAATGCAGTATGTTAAGCTAGTCAAACTGGGAGTCATGTGATATTGATGAAGTTAATGAGTGAGGAGAGGATGCAGAAGACACAAGTCACCACACAACGCAGGGTAGACCGTCCAAATCACGTCAAAATAGTTTATAATTTTATTAACCTACTTGTCATATCAATCATTTATTAAATCCATCACATTTCACAATGTCTGAAATACATATTCCATTTGATTTTATCATTTTTTATCTATAGATAAAAAAATTAATCACTATTTCCCCCAATGTTATTGAAAATAAAATTCTCGGACACACTTCGACAGCGGGTCCTCATCGAACATGTCAAACAGCAAAATAAACACGTTTCAAGCAAATCTTTAAATATATTATACAAAGTAATAAAATCAATAAAAATATATCTATGTGATTATTTCCATCTTTTCGTGAGATCGTGTGTTAAGTAAGTCAAATGACATGTCAGCTTTCGTCGCCTCGATTTCTCGGCTCAGACACGATGTGTTTATGCCAAAATATATGCATATGAAGTCTTTGTCACAGATCGTAACCTATCACAATGCATCCATGAAGTTCCATATTTTTAATATGGATTTCAACATGTTCAATTTCATACTTAAAACGTTCAGAATAACATGATTTAACCCAAACCTTTCGTCAAAGTCTGAAAATTATCAGTACTGTTCCTGTAATTTGATTGGCTGCCTTAGGTCACATGCTTAAATTTGGCTTATCACTAAACTTGTAGCAGATTATGTCGGTGAACAATATAAGTTTTTTTCATGTATACTGACATGGCAGCCTTCAACGTATGTGTTATTCATACGAAGCTTCGAAAACGGAGGTATTTCCTCATGTTAGTGAGCGGACAGCCACTATCATCGGGAAATAGGTGATGACAGATATTATTTGTAATTCTTTATAAAATAATGTTCTGACAACATTAACATGATTAACAAATGAAAAAAAAGAAGAAATAGGTAAGTGGATTTTATAAAATGTTATATTTTTGCCGAAAATCGTTAAATTTTCGCTTCCTTGGTCCTTAATCTGGACGTTATTAATGATTTAGCTTACATAATTTTTATTTAAAACAAAACTTTTATGGTTGTTAATGAATTATTTAAATAATGTAATACACATAACTTTCAAATTTTAAAACAATAGGATTAATTAGACCTTTCAAATAGTGTATGACCAAACATATAGTAGCAAAGATGTTTTACAAGTAGATAATTTCCTTGATAAATGTTGGCTTCATCTATCACACAAGAGTCTCCCAGAACTTGGTGTCACAACAGTAATATTCTGGTTGGCTGGTGTTGAAAGAGTCAAACGCCGCCCATGCTGCCAAAATTGCAGTGTCTTTCATGCATTTCAACCCATGACATGAATATTGTTATATTGCCATTTGTGCCAGGGATATGATAAAATGTTCTTGAAAAATTTACTTGTTTTAATTTTGTTACTCCAGAATATTTTTTTTATACTTATCTAACTTTTTAGGACAAAATAAGTAAAAAGTGAAAAATATCTCTGAGGATTTTTTTTTTAAACTGGCCTATCTCACTATTGAAATGAGTTTGAAATCTGTAAACCAAGAAATAAAAAGAAATGTCGCCTTATTCAGACTACACAGAATTCAAAGAAAATGTCCAGCAGAAGGCTATCTGAGATTCAAACCAAAATATGTTGAAAGTGGATGACCACCCAATCCTGTTAGTTGCCTCCTACAACAAGCATAGTCGCCTTTTATGGCAAGCATAGGTTGCTGAAGACCTATTCTTCACGTTAGATGCAGTACAGTATTGATATAAAACTGTGATTTATGACATGCAACAAACTTCCTGACACATGCATGCAGGTAAGGATCGTGTACAACTAAATGTCAGCAAGTACTGCTTCAGTCATAAATAATCATTATCAAGGGTTATACAGACTACCGGTACACAGAATTCGAACAAAATGTCCACCAGAAGGCTATTTGAGTTTCAAACCAAAAAATGCTGAAAGTGGATGATGATTTTTGCGCTGGATAACACATTTTCCTCCAAGAGGTAATAGTCATTGTGACAGTATCAGGAGGGGTATATGTGGTTTTGTGGTATAAAACCTAACGTGGGACGTATAAAACACATCGCAATACTGATACAATGAATTTATCTTGCAGCATGTTTCAATCTGCCATTGTAAAAGAATAAAAACAAATGGAAAATTGATACCAAACAGCTGTTTGATTGATCTGAGGTCAACTCGTGCGGTGTTACGTGACTTTCATTGACTCATAAGCTTCGTAGAAAGCTCAGAAATATATTTCCCTCCCAAGCAGAATAAGTAGTATTTTATCAAGATCACATGAACCGATCAGATCTCAACATTCTGGCAAAGGAGGTAAGAAAATGTTAATCAATAGCATCCAAGACCTTGCATAAACAACAACTAACAGCCTGTGATTTCATGTAAGACAGGGATGACACAACACCAGGTCGGGTTCATGTAATCTTAGCAAGTTTTGATTTTACAAGCTGGATGACCTCTGCCAGTGACAATCAAAGAAGATTGACATCTGGAACTTTCATTCACATAACAGTGTAACCATGGTAACAAGAACTCACCTTCTTCTTCAAACTCATCAAGAACTTTGTCGAGATCAACAAAATCCATGGTCGATGATACCAGAAGAAGATGTCACTGAAACACAAAATAAAGCACAGCCATAACTTGTCAGGTCTCTGTCTTTGGTGTGGTGCTATTCGTTTGTGTTTGTTTGTTTGTTTGTTTGTTTGTTGTTTAACGCTGCACTCAGCAATATTCCAGCTACATGATGGCGGTCTGTAAATAATCGAGTCTGGACCAGACAATCCAGTGATTGACATCATGAGCATCGATCCGTGCAATCAGGATACGATGACATGCATCAACCAAGTCAGCGAGTCTGACCACCCGATCCCGTTAGTCGCCTCTTATGACAAGCATAGTCGCCTCTTACACCAAGCATGGGTTGCTGAAGACCTATTCTACCCTGGATCTTCAAAACATTCACAACACACCCATGAAGCTCTACATAATCATTGATAAAATCCCGTCAAGGTAGAATTGGCTGGTTTGACGGCGGCCTGTAGGTAATAAAATCTGGACCAGGCAAACCAGTGATTGATATTGTGAGCAATCATCCGTGCCGTTAGGGGTACATTGACATGTCATCAACCAAGTCACTGGTTATACCACCCGATCCATTCGGTCACCTCTTACGACCAGCATAGGTTGCTAGGGAGCTGTTCAAACCCAGAATCCCCATGGTATGACCAGTATAGGTTGCTGGGACCTGTTCTAACCCAGAATCCCCACGGTACGACCAGTATAGGTTGCTGGTACCTGTTCTAACCCAGAATCCCCAAGGTACGACCAGTATAGATTGCTGGGACCTGTTCTAACCCAGAATCCCCACGGTACGACCAACTCTCTAAAATATTACACAGGTACTTGAATGAAACGAATGAAAACGTTAGAGTTGACTTCTTTCATACCAAGATGAGATGGATGAGCAGACATAGAACTCTCTCATCATGCTCATAGACTCTGTCTACCGGTCGTCATCTACATCAGCATGGGGCACATGTCAAATTTTATACAGCTACACAAATTACATTTTTCATACCTCTAGTACTACATTCATGTTCATTGTTGATCATAATATGAAAGACATCTTATCAATTTGTCCTCTGCCAATGGATGCCAGCAAGGATCTAGACATGCATATGAATAACATCTGCCGTGGATTTCTCATCTCAGTATATATGCAGGTCATGCATATTGGACAAAAAGGGCTATGTATGGTCACAAAATCATATTTTCGAGAAGACATTCCTGAACTAAATGTGCATCCCCTTGTTGACATTTTGTACATGGAAACAAGTCACATAACTTTTCCTGCTCTTTTCTTAAGTCATATTTGGACATTTCAGGTGTATATTTTTATTTAGCTAACAACAATCTGTTTGACTCAGATATCACGTACACAATATGTGTCGCCATTTTGATGAAAATAAAGGGTAAGTGAAATGAGTTGCAACCCTGAGTGTGCAATAATGAGTTGTTGGCAATAACTGGCCATGCGAGAACTCATCTCTAGCCAGTAGACCCGTGCTTGGGAATGACATTTTCAAGTCCAATATTTCAACATTTTATGGGCCATTTTTTTCAAGTCTGAGCCATTTACTTTACTATATTATTGCAATGAGCCATAAATTCAAAAAACTTAAAAATGATTGCAGCTGAAACACATTTTATCCTTTCTAATCATAGTCTTCAAACAATAACATGTCATTTCATCAACAAATATCCCTGTGCCAACTTTCATGTATGACCTGTGAAAAGTCAAATTTGCTGCAGTTTGCCTATTATCATAATTATATGTCAACATAATGTTATCTTGATTGAAATAGCAAAACAGCGGGATGCCAAACCAGTGACTTGTCTAACTGTTCCATACATGTGAATCAATTGGCAATATCAGCTTGAATATCATTTGTGACAACTCGTGTCATCTTGCAGATTTCGGAAAGGGGTGAGTGGTGACAAATGACGAAAGCATGGTACCACCCACCCCACATTCCATATTAGGAACAGCTCTGAGCAAATGCGTGATGTAGCCAGTTCAAATCAACGTTATCGTAATGTTTGGAAAGAATTAGAAAACAAATAAATTTGTAATAATGTCTATTGTAGTGTAAACAAAGATGGCCGCATTAATCAGGGATTTATTGGTCGTGATGACTAAATTATATTGTAATATGTCAGTCGATGTAAATTTGGTGGTGCAGGTTACAAAACTACTGCTTTTGCAGGCCCTTGTCTGCATTTCTTTCAGCGCAATTTAAAAAAAATTATGCATGAATTGTGCATGAACTGTCCTTGAACATGCAAGCAATGTCAACTAAATGTGTACAACTACCATAGACTCTTCAGTTGCTCTGGTCCTACAATTGTTTCAAGGGAGATTTTTTCACCAAGAATTCTAGTATTATTTTCATTCCTGATTTTGCATGACAATGGTTCAACACATGGGAAACAGGCAAATGTCTCCTTGTAGTGAGGAAATAGCCTTCCACTGAGAGCAAAATGGCTGATCTTATGACATTTAATCTTCTTCTTCCACAAATTGTTAAAGTTATTATTATCATGATTATGATACAGAAGCTCAAAATGAGCAGGATGGATTCTAACTTCAGGTACTATTTTGCTGAATTGTTAAGTTCATCATGTGTTCATGACAAAGTCAAATGAAAATTTGGATAGATCTAGGAATTTTCAAATATAATATTCCTTGACATATTTGATTTAAAATAGCAACACTGTTAAAACATACAGTCTGTAAAAGATAATACTTAGGTTTTACCAGCTAATAACAAAAAAGCTACTTTCATAATCATGTAATTCAACGTACATAATCAATTATCAATTAACAATTATCAATTTCCTGAAAGTGAAACATCTTCTTTCAGTCTTTTCTTAGAATAGTCATCATGTAACTTATTATTGTAAGATAAATTGAGTAACTTAAAGTTAAATAACATAGAGATTGAAAATATGAACTAAAGGCACTCATTGAATTTCCTTATCATGCTGGTATACAACATTATTATCATGTCGACACAAAGGGAGGGAGTTCACAATGTACTGTACTTCCTCATATGGTGTATGGAAAATAGGGGTGAAACAATACAGCAAGATCACGATACGATATGTATCGCGATGCCCATATTTACGTCAAATCGCATGGAAATTCAAAAGGAAAAGTTATCTGTAGACACATGGTCGTAGCGGCTATTTTTAGTAGTGAACTTGAAACAGCAATTACAACACATTTTACTCTATCTGACTGACCAAAACTCCAGGGATCATTAAATGAGTAGCAAGTCATTTATTTCAGCAAGTGTATCATCTAGTACCGATACAAAAAAATGTATCATGTATTGTATCGTCACATGAAAACTCACAATGCACCGCTGCACTGATGTATCGTTTCACCCTTAATGGAAAAATCTATATTAAACATGAAATGTATAAAAGATCACTTCTGTCAGTGTTTGAAACTGAAAATGTTGAAAAATTATCAGTAAGTTTGGTCAAATACTAGATAGTTACGAGATACATGTTTTTGTCATAGAGCAAACAAGATCGTCAAGACAAACATCTTACCGAGACAAAAGCATGAATCCTATCAATACATGACCTGGGTCAACTGAAAGGCAGAGAATCAAACTCATGTGGGATTCGGGCTCAATAATGTCATCCCGAGAATTCATGTAACTGCAGGTTCTTGTTACATAACACGAACCCTACATTTGATTTGAAAGGTATCAAATTCTCATGTCCTCTGCAAAATAGAGTTCAAACCTACATGATTGTTCTAAAACATAATGACCATAATATGATCTTTAACCATGTTGTGTGCAATGAACGTTATCACACATGCATAGTTTCAGACATTGAGTTGAATCTTAGATGTTGGAATCTATCTGTGATGTGTGAATACTGTGGACAAGTAAATACATGCAAGTGTTATTATAAAAGCTTGACAGGAAATATTAGTTTAACTTGAATAATAACATTCATGTTTCCGGACAGGCTTTTTGTTACAGAAAGTGATCTTATCATCTACTGTCACTTCCTGGGTCAAAGTTAATCCAGATTGTCACTGTACCAGGTATGTCTCCCTTGCACATCGGAAACATATGCCCTTGTACACACTCAATCATGGTGTCAGAATTGAAAAGTTTTGCAAAAGTAAAAACATAAAACTCACACTTACTCTTGTTAAAAAATTTGATTAATTGTCATGATTGTTGAGTGCTAATAGTCTTAGACACACATGTCAACATTTTGTAATGTAACCACATTGAGAGCAAAAATGATGATCTGGCGTTCTCAGGATAATAGAAAACCACATCCCCTATCTCCTCCATGAACATATACCATCAAACAAGACAACTTTAAGACTTTCAGCATCACCAGGAATGGCACCAAATATTACGATGGTGTCTTAGATGTTGACCTATCCCCGAAATTGTTGTCAATGTTGACATCTGAATAAACCTGCTATTTATATATCTACTGGAAATTGTGATCGTAACCAAATTAAATAGTTAATATGATGAATAGAAGAAGGAATACCTTAACTAAATATCATTTCGTTGGTTTCTTGAGGCACTTCTGGAGACCAAATCACAACAAATTTTCCCTGACTCAGTGGAGGTAGCCTCTTGCAGTCGCCATATTAGATAGCCCATTTCCATTCGTGACTACTCGTGATTTGTCGGAAGACGTCGGAGTTTTATTCTGTTTAATTTGCTTATTGATAACAATCATTCCATGCCTTTTAAGCGCCGAACAGGGCAAGTTGTATTATAAAATCTGCATCTAATCGCGTTTCAATAACCTTCTTAAAATACCAAACTCTGAACAACGTGCTACTGCGCATTTTTTACGCCGTGAGGAGCTTTAAAAATTGCATTTACTGGGCTTCTGTCTACAAATTCAATGAAGAAAAGTTAGAGCACAATCAACTGCGTGTACCAACTGTGGACCCAGTTTGTTAAAGGAAACTACCATGTAACAACATATTGTAGATGTTAATGTGTTCCGGTGTAGCGATTTGATTTGTAACATATAGTTTTTGAATGCCATCTAATCTTTTGATTACTATACTTATAATAGCAGATGAAATAATGTACATGGAAATACCGCTCGATGGAAACACCAAAAATATGAAAGTACCGTGTGTGAAAACATACGTTTATAGTATCATATTTTATTAAGTGTTTGAACCATATCTTTCTCGTCCACAAAATTTATCACGTATCTTCCTTGCAGAATGAATGTCTAATGAGAAAAGACAAGTTGACAAATAAATGATTTTTATTTTATGAAGTACATATGAAGGAGTAAGTATTCTCTCCGAAATGTCCTTAATATTTCAGTTTTACCCATAGCAAAAAATACGCAGTGACCTCGGCTGTACTTCGAAAACACGACGGATATATTGTTAAATCAAAGTTAAAGTTAAACATGTTGTGTTAGTTCTTTTAAATTGAATAATTAAAAAGTAAATATTTACTTATGTGTTATAATCCGTGACGTAAAATGAAGTATACAAATTAGTGAGTTAACTGTTTTTTTCGTCGCTTTGAACCGTATTTCAGTTACCTCATAGCACGGAATCAGGGATAGTCTGATATTGGAACACACGACCCGCGGATCCCGGCACAACCAAGGGGCGCAACTGTGCACAAAAAATATACATGACGTCTTTAACTAGACCAGCGGGTCACCCGTGCTCACACGAACTCGAGTCGACTCAACAACGTACCGAGTTGATTTTACACCATAGTAAACATTCATCGATGTCATGGGATTCGGGATTTCTTTTTACCTTTTAACTTGTTAAGAGCGAAAAACACACACATTGTAATAACGTGTTCACGGTAAAATAACTGTCTATTTGTAAATGTATTCAGGGAATATATATTTGCAGATTATGAATTCTAGATTATCACCAGAGAACCGCATCTCCTTTTTTGGATTGTTATTATGTGTCAAGAGAATAGTATCATCGTCTAAAAGCTCCAAACAGCGCTTTATCCATTTTACTGTTAGTGACAGACGAAAAGTGCTGTTATGGAGCTTACCGGGATTTCACAACATGCGTACATCTATTTTCGTTTCATCATATACCCTGAATATTCTGCAAAGTGTCACACTTAGAACTGGGTTTCGTTCTGTCTACAGGAAGATGGCTTCCTTTCCGCAAACATCTGGACAGCAGTTTGATTTTCTCTTAGTTTTAGATTTTGAGGCAACATGTATCGCGAGGTAGGGCTTATTCATCACCCCTCAATGTACCAACCACTAACACTATTTGTTTTCATACAAGACAAATTCATGTCAGTATATCTACTAAGGTTTTTTTTCCATTGCTTGGCAAAGCCAAAATAGCCTCACAAGAATACATAATATTACAAGTTTATAACACGGCTGTCCTATGAACACTTATAACTTCATAACGGTGTTTATAACTCATATCTGGAGTTACGAAGGACATCTATCATATCTTGTACTCTTTCTATTTTGTTTTTATGAGAAGCATTTGTTAGTGGGGGCCGTTAGTGGAAAATAGATATTAATTTGTGATGTCTACTGGTATAACCTATATGAAATATGAGTACATTAAACGTCCCTGAATTTCATCTGTAGGCTTTTGTTTCTGAATTACCTTCTGAGTTATTTTCTTCTTTTTTTTTCTTGACAGGGGAGAGCGACTTCAACCTCAGGTAAATCTGCAGTTCTCTTAATTGCAAAGAAGTGATTACTTCTTATTATTTTTATCTGTATATTCTCTGTGTGTATATATTTTTAAAATTTCAAACAAAATACAACACTTGAGTACTTCTCTGACATGTTTCATTCGTATCTCTGATCTCTCTTGTGCTTTGTTTTAATTTGTAAATATATTGGACTGTACACTCGAATTGTGTTACCGAGTGGTTCTGGTCCTGTCGTAGGCATCAATCCATCTCATCCCATATGGACAGCTTTTTTAGATTTGACTTGGGTCAGTTGCTAGAAGCAGGGATATATCTAGAATTCCACTCCAAGTTCCTTCGGCAGCCAAATTAGTAATAAAATCATGATATTGTTCAAAATTTGATTTGTTTTGATATTCTTAGTTTTAAAAATCCTGAGAAATTGGGGAATAGTTAATTCAAATTGGGAATTTTTACTGTCATTTGCTGCAGACTGAGGGCTGAATATCGGACTCTGAGTGGGTCTAGATAATCCCTGATAAGTTACTAGGTTTTGAACTAGCATGCAGAATAAGGGTTGAACTTCATTACCAGCCTTCTATAGCTATGGTGACAATGGCCAGTCTTCAGTCTTCACGTTGTAGGGTCCGCTGTCAAAATAATAGTGCAGTATAATCAAATTTACTGTCATAGACATGAAAGTTACTAAAAAAATTAAAAACACCAAAATCCACCCTCTCCAGTCCCTCCAGTCATTTTGAAAAAATCAAGAAAAACAAGACATAAGCTGGCTAATGTCTTTTTTCGTACGCCAATCTCAAATCTCCCCTCAGTGAAATGGTAGTCCCATTCCTTCATACTGTGACTTAATTACACAGATATGGAAGCTGTTAAAACTAGCGCTTGTGTTAAAATGTCATATCTGTTAATAAAAATCACATTAACAGGACATATGATTTCTGGAGGCGTGGAACAAATCACCGAAATGTTCAGTGCATCCTGGTACTAATGTACCAAGTGTCACATCATGTGATCATATATACCGTATTCAACGTAATAAGTGCCCCTCTGTAGTAAGCGCCCACAGCAGTATTTGCTAATATATTGGCTAGTGAACAATCCCACCCCTTCCGATTGATCAATGCACACAAGACTTATTTATTCCATATAATACGCACTTGTGTGTTATATGCACCCATAAATATGGGCAATTAAATTCTGGAAAAATATATCTTTCGTATATAAACATTTCAGGCTGTCAGCATAAACCACAAAATTTATCTTTCAACTTGTTTTTTTCATCAAAATAATATTTTAATAAGAACCCCCCTATTTCTAATTTTGAGAGCGCCCTGGGCGCTTATTACGTCAAATACGGTAGATACAATAAGATTGTGTGTTTTGTGTCTAAGGGTGATATGTTATATTGTGTGAAAATTTTTTTTGAAATTTCTGCCAGTATGTCCTTGGGATCCACTTCTTAAATATACCAATTAAAACAAGTTAAGGACCACTCGATTAACTTTCCTTAGAAGAATATATTACTAAGATCTGCTACATGTAGTAAATATGTTTTGATTGGGCTTTTTATTCAGTCTGGCTGATTACAGAATATGTCTCCTTGCAAGGCAAGTGTTGTTTTCATATTATGTATCGTATCGTGTATCTTATCACGTCCAGGGGCATGGGTGGCCCAGTCATCTAAGGCGCCGCGATTCGCTGTGCAGGGTAACATCCCTTGGGTGCGTCAGAAACCTATGATTATGGGTTCCAATTCCAGTTCGCCCCGATTTTGTTTCTAGGTTTGTCAGCACCATACCCGTGTTCGTGGGTTTCACCGAAGTGGTAAACATCTGAGACCTGCATCCCTTCAGGATTTCCTCCCACATTAAGCTGACACGCTGCTATATAACTGGAATACTGTTAAAAGCGGCGTTAAACCCAACTCACTCACTCTCTCAACATGCTTAAATCACATCCTCACTATCAATATATGGTATTGCATCCTGTTGCATGATAGTGTATTGTTACAGTCATTAGTTTGTGTACATGTTCAGTTCCTTTTTGGGGCACACTGACAGCAGGTGAAGGTGTTCATTCCTGTTTTGGTTTCCATGCAAAACTTTTCTTGTTTGTAAAGTATGAGACTGTTGTTTGTCAGGAAATCATTGAGTTCCCGTGCCTCAAGGTGAACGCCCAGACAGGAGATATCGAGTCACAGTTCCACCAGTATGTGAAGCCGCGTGTTCATCCTCAACTCACAGACTTCTGCACAGAGGTGAGGAGGCAACGAACATATGCCCTAGGGATCGGACGAGTCGGATCGGATATGCCCTAGGGACCCATCCCCCTATTTCCCGACCCTACCCCCTATTACCCGACCCTACCCCCTATTACTCGACCCTACCCCCTATTACCCGACCCTACCCCCTATTACCCGACCCTACCCCCTATTACCCGACCCTACCCCCTATTACCTGACCCTACCCCCTATTACCCGACCCTACCCCCTATTACCTGACCCTACCCCCTATTACCTGACCCTACCCCCTATTTCCCGACCCTACCCCCTATTACCTGACCCTACCCCCTATTACCTGACCCTACCCCCTATTACCCGACCCTACCCCCTATTATCCGACCCTACCCCCTATTTCCCGACCCTACCCCCTATTACCTGACCCTACCCCCTATTACCTGACCCTACCCCCTATTACCTGACCCTACCCCCTATTACCTGACCCTACCCCCTATTTCCCGACCCTACCCCCTATTATCTGACCCTAGCCCCTATTTCCGGTAGGGCTACCCCCTATTTCCCGACCCTACCCCCTATTATCTGACCCTAGCCCCTATTTCCGGACCCTACCCCCTATTTCCCGACCCTACCCCCTATTACCCGACCCTACTCCCTATTACCTGACCCTACCCCCTATTTCCCGACCCTACCCCCTATTACCTGACCCTACCCCCTATTTCCCGACTCACCCCCTATTTCCCGACCCTACCCGGGTATCCGCTGCTGGTCTCAAGAGATAGGTACAAAATGTCAGATTGGGAAAAGTTTGACCGTAGACCTTGCAAAAAGTATTTAAAAATACATATAAAATGATCTGGTCAAGCATACACTGAAGTTAACTGAAGCTTTATCTTTATTCAAGCATATAATGGTCAAAAGGAATGCATACATAGTCAGAAAAAAATGCGAACATTAGTGACTTTTAGTGTAACCATGGAGTTCTAGATTAAACAGTATATCATGTGACTAACCAGGGTCCGGGTAGTCCTGTGGGTACCCGGGTCCTACTCAGTACCCACCCAACCCGAGTACCCGAGTTACCCATCCCAGCCCTAATCTGCCCACAACCTTCGAAATAAGCAGCACAAGTGAGATTTATTTTGGTTAGACTCTTTCGTATTACTATTGTTAATCTGTGATGGCACGACGCATTAACTATGATCATATGAAATAATCGTGTGATCCTTTACTTCTTTAGAGTAGTATATGTTCATCAGGCATGCGGTCCTCGTTTTGAGGGGCTGATTATATATACAACAAAGAGCACCATACCAGTTGCTCTCTGGTTGTTCCGCAGTTTGCCTTGCCGTGTTCACTGGTGTTTTAATGCTGACTTTATGTTGCCATGGCAACAGTTTTAAACCCTTATGTCCACAGGTATCATGCTTCACAAGCAGTGAAATTATGCCACATAAAGCCTTTTTATACATGCACCACAGCTTAAGGGTTGCAAGTTGTGACAATTTTACATTTTTTACCTAACTCACCTTCCATGAATTTGTGTTTTTATTTCTAAAAAAGTACCTGTGAAGATCCGGGTTAGAATAGGTCTTCAGCAGCTCATGCTTGCTGTAAATGGCGACTATGCTTGTGTAAGAGGCGACTGACGGGATCAGGTGGTCAGGCTCGCTGACTTTGTTGATGTATGTCATCGTATCCCAATTGCGTAGATCGATGCTCATGCTTTTGATTGTTAGTTTATGTCAACGAAGTCATAAACATCTTTGGACTGGGCCCAGTTCCACAAAGTGATCTTAGCGCAAAGGTGATCGTAACTGCCATATGTAGACTTACAACTGTCGTTATGCTACGATCACTTTGTGGAACAATGCCCCAGGTCACTTCAGGCTTTCCTGATGTAGCCGGGTGGTGGTGCTAACTCTGAATGAGTTATAGCCACATAAGTACCACCCACTTATAACCCCCCTTAGATTCATTCTATACATATATACATACATGTTCATCTATTATCACCATCACTTCATTCTGTGTTCATTATATGTTCATTATATGTTGTCCTTGTCTGCAGTTGAATGTCAGCCAACTAACACCAACCTGATACCCTTCTGCAGCCACTGTAATTTCTCCAGCTTCACCTGGACTTCCCCCTATCTATTTTTAGATATGTCCACCACTTCATGTGACTGAAGCATCTTGACTTCCTTTTAATACCTGTCAGATGCTACCTTTCTTCTGATTGGCCCTTTGGTCCACTTCTTTAAACTTCCTTTCTCACCTGCCCTCCTCATGCATTCTGCATGAACTCTTTATGGAGGGAGGATTCTTCTTTACAGGTGAGAAACATTTCAATATTCTTATCTCTTTCCATCCTGCTTTGGACATGTTGGAAACAAATATATTCATAGAAGGGGTATCACAGCTTTTCATTAAAGTAAAATATATTTAATTGCATTATTATTTAATTTGTTATATCTAAATATTTGCCAGCTAACACATTTTGTGTTACATTAATTGAGCACATGGTCTCCAACCATGTGCTTCAACCATGTGCTACCCAACATATTCTTATAAATTAATCTGTTTCCTTTTTGGCTTAAATTAAATTATAACAATTCTGCATGAACTCTTTATGGAGGGAGGATTCTTCTTTACAGCTTCCCTCCCACCATCTACTCCAAAGGAATAAATATCATCATCATCCAAGAACTGCCTCATGTTTTGACTAGCAGCCCAGTGGCTGGACACATCACACCACACCCGGCTACACTGACATTAAGATGGCAGTGTGCATGGTGTGATAGGACTGAAATAAGGTTCAAACAGCATTAACTGACTCTCTCACTCACCCGTTAGAAACAACACAAATATACCCAAATTCTGTAACATGAGGGACGGTGGGGTAGCCTAGTGGTTAAAGCATTCGCTTTTCACTTTGAAGGCCCAGGTTCGATTCCCCACATGGGTACAATTTGTGAAGCCCATTTCTGGTGTCCTCCACATTGATATTGCTGGAATATTGCTAAAAGTGATGGAAAAACTCATCGACCCACTCCCAATACAGCCATTATTGATGCGGTCACTGTTATTGTTGTTGCAGCTCACAGGCATAATCCAGGACATGGTTGATGGACAGCCCCATCTTGAAGCTGTGCTTGAGGTAAGACCCTGCTCATACATTCTCAGTATTATGGCTTTGTTGTTAAACTCTTTCTTGTTGTCCTCTAGACACTGAAACTGAATATACAATTAATACCCTCACTATATCTTGAATGTCTGCGGAGTAACTGACAATAGAATTAAGCCACTCACAACTTGCTGTTGCAGATGTTTGACGAATGGATGACAAAGGAAGGGCTGCTCGACGGGAAGACGACATCGGCCTTTGTAACCTGTGGGGACTGGGATCTCCGCACCATGTAAGATCTTACAGTGCAGTCATAATTGTGTCACGAAATTTAATCCTAGACTTCAATTTGATCATGTCTATTATCTGGTGGTTATAGTATTCACAGTCGTGGCGTCAGCGTCCCTAACAGGATGAAATAATTGTTATTGTTGTTGTTGTCATTCAAGGCTGCCAGGACAGTGCCGCCATTTCAACATTGAACCGAAACCGTACTTCAGCCAGTGGATCAACATCAAGAAGGTAGATACATTACGCTTTTTTTATTAATAGCAACTTCTTTTATTCTTTGTATGACGTTTCAGAGCTACGCTTTGTACGACATTTCAGAGCTACTCTTTGTACGACATTTCAGTCAGAGCTACTCTTTGTACGACATTTCAGAGCTACTCTTTGTACGACATATCAGAGCTACTCTTTGTACGACGTTTCAGAGCTACGCTTTGTACGACATTTCAGAGCTACTCTTTGTACGACATTTCAGTCAGAGCTACTTCATGAAGGAGTAAGAAGTAGCTCTGAAAAGTTTTACAAAGAATAAAAAAGTGTCATGTGTTTATGTTCTCCCATATTCTTAATGCCTATCAAAGACACCAAGAGGGTAGTTGCTTTGTCTGGAGTACAAGGTGTTAAATGATGACAAAAGTCAGTACCAGGCAGCTTCGACACAAGACTGGAAGCAGTTTCTATTTCAAAATAAATAAAAAATTATCAAACATCTGAGGTTTCTAAAACTCTGATCCTGATTTACCTGTTGTCCCTGTTGGTCAGTGTTGATCTACAAGGAATGGTACACCCAGGTTGTCAGCTCCAGATCAGTGTATATTGTTCAACACTTGGCCGAGTGACTCGGGGCTACAGTAGACTAAGCTTATTACCAACGCACTTATTTTCCCCGGCCATTTGCTGTATATATGCTGTATATATGCTTATAACAAACTACGGTTATAACCAACTAAAATAAGTGGTCCCGTTTAGTTTGGTTATAGCCATAGTGACCGCCTCTGTGGTCTAGTTGTAGAGCGTCCGCCCGGAGAGCGGAAGGTCCAGGGTTCGATCCCCAGCCGCGTCATACCAAAAGACGTTAAAAGATGGTACTTGTTGTTACCCTGTCTGGCGCTCGGCATTAAGGGGCTAAAACAAGGACTGGTCGGCTAGGAGTCAGTATACTGTGTCTGAGTGGAGTAGTCCTGTTAAACTGCGGCATGGTATCTCAGTGGGCTAGCACTATAAATCGGCATCAGTGTGGACTAGTACAAGCAGCTACACACACACGTGCATGCACGTCGCTATACAAGTGCAATAATCTTGGACGCGACGTTAAACCCAATTTCACCTCACCTATAACCATAGTTTAATGTATATGTAGCCCCAACAGCTGATACTGCTGACATGGTGTGCAATCCTGCTACAGTCTCACTACAGTCAAACTCTGATTGCCCAATCAAAAGAGGTCAGCTTTCTACAACAATTTGGGTTCATTTATTTACAGCCTTGATTCATACATTTTGGTCTTAGCAAAGAATACTGCTGCAGAACTAAGACACCGGAAGACCCTCAGTTGTGCATTCTTGTGGGTGTACTTGCCATGCGTTCAGAAGTGACAGGATGTATAAAATATGCAAACAATCCATTAGCGCAGCAATATTTTCTTGCATTTGGTACTTCCCCATTACATTAATTTTTCGAGATACAGAAATGAAATATGGATGTTAGAATGCATTGTTCACGCTTATACAGAATAGTTTATGCTGATTGGTCAATTAGAAAGATCACCTGACGCAACCTCCTGTGACAGTGTCCTAGCTTCACGATCATGGGTATCATGTTAGAGTAAAAGATCTAATTTGCTGTTGCATCTTGGGTAGGCAGGACAGCTTTATTGTTGTTGGATGTTTGAGTTGTATTTTTACAGAGTTGTGCGGAGTCCACGTCGGTGTTCCCCAGGGGGATGATTGGAATGCTGTCCCTGTTACAGCTGCAGCACCAGGGCAGACATCACAGTGGAATAGGTCAGTTGGGAAAAACAGTAACATTGTCTTTTGGAATATGTGTGTGTGTGAGTTGGGTTTAACGCCGCTTTTAACAGTATTCCAGTTATATCGCGGCGTGTCAGCTTAATGTGGGAGGAAAGCCTGAAGTGATGCAGGTCTCAGACGTTTACCACTTCGGTGAAACCCATGAGCACGGGTATGGTGCTGACAAACCTAGACACATACAATCATAGGTTTCTGGCGTGCCCAAGGGACGCAACTCTGCACAGCGAATTGCGGCGCCTTACACGACTGGGCCACCCGTGGCTCTCTATTGAAATAAATACTAGGCTCATAGATTATTTTTCAAAAGTAGGTGGTCAAAATATAACACAAAAATTATTGCAAAAGGGAAATAGTCATGGGACATCTAAAAATAAACCTTGTTGCTTGCCGAGTGTTGCTTTTAATGACTGTAACAGAGTTACTTCTCTTCCTGTATCAAGCATCGCTGGAGACATTATTATTAGCCTCTGCCACGAAGTGGAAGGGGAATGTAGGAATCGGTGCTGTCCGTCCGTCATGTTTCGTTTCCGGAGCAGATCTAAAAAAATATGAGAAATATCTTACCCAAACTTGGCACAAAATACATCTTGTTGTGAGCTTGGGCCTTTTGATAGTTTTGAATTTTTGAAAAAAATGTTTTTCGAGTTTCCATGGCAACGACTTTGACTTAGACTGAAAACTGCGGTAGTGCTCCACACCTCCTAACATGTCATATTGGCAGGAGATATAAGTATTTCATGCTTGTTTACAATTTGCTATCAGAACATGAAAGGATTTTCTTTTAATATAATATTTTCATGTTCACATTTGGGGTACGGGTGGCCCAGTTGTCAATTCGCTGTGCAGAGTTGCGTCCCCTGGGCAGGCTTGAAACCAATGATTGTGGGTTTGAATCCCAGTTCGCCCTGATTATGTTTCTAGGTTTATCAGCCCCATACCCGTGCTCGTGGGTTTCACCAAGGGTAAACGTCTGAGACCTGCATCACTTCGGGCTTTCCTTTCACATTAAGCTGACACGCTGCGATATAACTGGAATACCGTTAAAAGCGGCTTTAAATCCAACTCACTCATGTTCACATTTGTGTCAATGTGTTTTGGTCAGGCCATGGTGCAAGTTATGACAAAGCCTGAGGTGATTTTGCTATATAATCAAGAGTATCACCTTCGGCATGCTGGTTGTTGTTTCAGACGACTGCACCAACATCGCTGCCGCCGTGAAGGAGCTGATCAGAAGGAAGTATGTGTTCAAGTACACGGGCCAGCTGAAGTAGTGGGACTACAGTCACAAGCTGACACAAGATAACCGAACTGCGAAGAACTGCTTTCTGTGATACCAATATTCTTGTTTGGGGAGTATTGACAACTCGTTTGAATGAGTGAGAACCTATATTTTCCACTTCATGAGAGATGTCGCTGTCCACCTTAAGCAATATCAACATGAATATCCGACAGCTATGACCTTATCTGCTTATGTTGATTCACTGAAGTAATGTGTGTCTTCCTATCATAAGGGTGCTGCAGTGCAATTACTGCTATGAACCAGTCTGTATCATCTAATCTTGCAGCATGAGGGTAATGTGTTGGCCACATTGTTAAAGCTGTAGATCGGTAAACACCTCTTGCTGCTTTGTACCTTAAGCAGAATAGTAACATGATGTGCGTATGTGATGTGGCGTGAATGTCCAAGAGTCGGGTTTATTGAGAAATGTGTGACAGGTTGTGTAACAGGTGAAGAGTCGGTGAACTTGCGGCTGTTTTTTGTGAACAATATTCCAGTTATATCACGACGTGTCGTCTTATTGTGGGAGGAAAGCCTGAAGTGATGCATGTCTGAGACATTTACCACCTTGGTCAAGCCCACGGGCATGATGCTGAGAAACCAAGAACCATAATCTAGGTGAACAAGGATTCAAACCCACAATCATAGGTTTCTGGCACACTCAGGAAAAGCAGTGCCTCAGACGACTTGGCCACCCGTGCCCTGACAGGCCAATGAGATAGCGAGATTGAATGAGATATTCTATTTGCAAGTCATCCCGCTTCCTTGGAGACTTTCTACTTTAGACTGTATTTATCATATTTGAATAAAACATTCAACCCAAGAATATACTGTCGTTACAATGTCAGAGTTATCCGACTCACATACATGAACTGCCTTACATCCCCAGCTGTTTGTAAGTGGAATTTTCATATATTTCAGCTGTGAAAAAGCAGCTGTATGGTATTATTTGCATGGAGATGTGTGTTTCAGAAGGCACAGTGGAGATGTGTGTTCAGGTGGAGACAGGAGATATGTGTGTTTAGGGACCAGACATTTATTATAGGCAGGGTCAGAGGGAATCAGGGAAGGGACTTAAAAAAACCTCATATTTGGGGAGGGCCATGGAAAAATGGACATTTTATTATAAAATATAAAGTGCATTTGCATGTTGTCTTTTCAGGGGGATCATGTAAATAATTTACAAGGACATAGGGAGGGTCATCCAAAAATATGACTAGCGTTAGGGGAGGGTAATTATTTTCAGTACACGCAGAAACTGCTTCCAGTCTTGTGTCGAAGCTGCCTGGTACTGACTTTTGTCATCATTTAACACCTTGTACTCCAGACAAAGCAACTACCCTCTTGGTGTCTTTGATAGGCATTAAGAATATGGGAGAACATAAACACATGACACTTTTTTATTCTTTGTAAAACTTTTCAGAGCTACTTCTTACTCCTTCATGAAGTAGCTCTGACTGAAATGTCGTACAAAGAGTAGCTCTGAAATGTCGTACAAAGCGTAGCTCTGAAACGTCGTACAAAGAGTAGCTCTGATATGTCGTACAAAGAGTAGCTCTGAAATGTCGTACAAAGAGTAGCTCTGACTGAAATGTCGTACAAAGAGTAGCTCTGAAATGTCGTACAAAAGGCACAGAAAATTCAATGATATAAATGATTTTATTGGAAGCACCAAAAAGGACAAGTTCAGGTTTGTTGGCCTGGATAGGTCTGAGGCTGTATAAGTGCCTATTCCAAAGATTTTTGTATTTATCATTTTCCATGACGCTTTCTACATATTCCGGTGGGACGTCTGTGTCAAAACCACAAACATGGCGAAGACGGTAATAAAATGATCGAGCAACTCCATCATGTCGCTTAAAATACTGTGTTTGAGCCAAAGCTGGGCATCCACTGACAACGTGTTGGACAGACTCATTAAATTCATCGCATAATCTACATTTCATATTTACATTTTGATGCAAAATCACACATTGACGGTTTCGAGTGGGAAGTTACTGGTCCTGAGCAGCTTTTCAGGCCAGGGGACTTCATCCAAGCAAAGGACTGCAGGATTGCTTATTGTCTCAACACACTGCACATAAACTCACTGCAGTGGTCGTTACCATGCTTGGAGCATCAGGAGAGGCGTATAGTAATGGCATCAAGTGGGTTCTCAATGAACTAGTGCAATCAGTGGGAAAAGTTATGTGGCACTTCAAAACGCACTTATTATTCGCAGAAATATTCATAAACATTTTTAAAATCATGTAAACATAAAAACTACCACTAGCTGGTAATCGGTAAACCGATACCAACTATTTCTTACCAACTTTACTTAACTTTACAACTGCTAATGGATATTACTCAGTTTCAAAATCGAGGCTCACAAACTGCACATATCACACACACGCACGCACAGGCACGCACGCACGCACACACACACACACACACACACATTTCGTAAAATGCATCACCATATTCAACATACCTAAGGTTCTTCAACACAATCTGAAACCCGTCATGCACCCCATCGTATCTCATGATGCCATCGATCATGTTTCAGTATCCACGCCGCTCTTAGATGACTGTTGTTGGAGTCATTATATCTGACAACACCTCTGAACCTCTCGCTCGACACCCGCGGGGTTTTCAGTATTCCGGTGCGTGGACAGACACACATAGCGGTTTCGACCACCACATGTTACTTTTTGCCTTTACGCAAAAGAGAGTTGAATGATGGGTAAAACATGTCTTTCCACATCAGACGTTCATTACAGCTCCCGTGTGTACTAATACCCACAACGAAAATAGACTTCTGGTTCCTTTTGCTTTTCAGTAAACAGAGTAATCTTGCTCCATGTTCGTGTGTGAGAAGTCCTTCATGGATGACGTTGGTCGTGCCGTCACACACGGCATCCACGTAGTTTAAGTAGGAGAACCACAGCAGTTGCATCCACCCTTAACAGTACTCCAGCCACCCTGGAAACATACGACACAATATGATACAAACAGCAGTTCTACTGGGGAATTGATATGAAATGTCTTCTGAGATCAATGTTTTGACCCTTGAAGATCCGGGGTAGAATAGGTCTTCAGCAACATGCTTGCCGTAAAAGGCGATTATGCTTGTCATAAGAGGCGAGTAAGGGAATCGGGTGGTCAGGCTCGCTGACTTGGTTGATGCATGTCATTGTATTCCAATTGCATGGATCCATGCTCATGATGTCGAGCACTGGATTGTCTGGTCCAGACTTGATTATTTACAGACCGCCTTCATATGGCTGGAATTTTGCCGAATGCGGCGTAAGACAAGAAACAAACCAACTAATCACAGATTTGGGAAAATGGGGGAATGTATCTGATTTTATAGTGAATGATATTGTATTTGGTCAAATTAAGTATATGGAAACGATATCATGTTTATGAAAAAATGGATGAATGAACGAAATAATATTGCTATCCATCGTATCATCAATTTAGACAGTTTGAGAGAGTGAGTTCGGTTTAACAGTACTCTAGTTATATCACATCGTGTCAGCTTAATACAGGAGGAAAGACGGAAGTGATGCAGGTCTCAGACGTTTACCACTTTGGTGAAACATAATCGGGACGAACCGGGATTCGAACCCACAATCACAGATTTCTGGCGTGCCCAAGGGACACAACTCTGCAAATAGTCAACCTTATGCATAACAAGAACAATTATAAAATTATTAAATGACACATCAGTCCAACATGACAGAAAATCTATGTTTATTAAAATCTATATCTTGTCATAAAGATTTATTTCTTTAGGAATGCTATACTCGTATTGTTTTGAAAGAATATATAGATTAAGCGTTTCTTTTCAATCTGTTTTACTGTCGGAAATTCCTCTGATTGTTTTACGTCACAATGCGTTTTTTCATGTGCAGCAACGTGGAGTCTCACCATGTGCGTTCATCATGTGCTCTGTGTTCATTACTGCGTCTTTTGTACGTATGCCTAATCGAGTTTGTACGTCAAGGGGACAATCCATGACACCAAAACACACTGCATACCGCTAATGATCAACTGTCATTGGTAAGCATAATTCCCCAACCCCTGACAGAGTCAAGTCCAGTTTCTTGTCTGAGAAATAATGCATGAATTACACAACTTGTGTATAAGAGTCATTTTCTTCCAGCACACAAAAGTTCGTTGATGGTCTCAGATACTCACCTTTAGGGATCTTGACATTGTTTGTCCATCATCACCAGCGATAACATCAAACACCCTTCCAAAATCCCAGTGTGCCCGCGGCTGGTTGTTGACAACAATAAGAACCAGATCCCCTTCCGATATTGCTGGATTGTCACGGCTCCATCTGTGTTGAACTCTTTAAGCCATTGTTGACTTACGAGGTCGCTCCTGCGTCCTACTATCTATATTTTCTGATCTGTGCACATGTCTTTGGGGAGAAAGGTATCAACTCCGCCAAGCTGAAAGTGGTGGGGTGTCAGCAGGGTATAGTCCTCAGGTGATGGCTGTTGTGAGTCAATGTGCGACTGTTCAAAACAGGCTCAACTTCAATCAGTGCAGAGCGAAGCACTGATTCAGATACAAAGGTGTTACCAAGAGTTGCCTTGCATTGAGAGCCGTCTTTGTAGACTAGTCTTTCCCATGCCCCACAAACGTGTGGACCTTCAGGTGGGTTAAAATGCCAAAGGATGCCTTAAGGAGCTAGAAAGTCATTGACATAATCTTTTGTGACATCACGAAGGCATTGCCCTAGTTAACACCTTTGCAGTTTGTCCCGTTGTCACTGTCTAAATGTTTCAGATGACGTCGTCTTTCAATAAGGCACCTGACAGGAAGAGGAGAATGAAAGCTCTAGTAGATAAGCAGACGAACAAACATTCCCAGCACTTGACTGAGCTCCTGCGAGCTCACTAACATGGGACCAAAGCGGTAAACTCCAGTTCACACAAAGGGACAATAAAGTGCACCAAGACGACACCCGATCCCGTTAGTCGCCTCTTCTGAGTACTCGTGGTTTGACCTTCATTTTCCGACAACCAAGACAAGATTATCATGATTGAAAGATGGGAGCTTCAGGAGCTTCCCCGATGACAGAAATGATGTACAGCACGCACTATTCAGGCAGTATGACGACATAATCTGTGCCAGCAGGATTGAGCAAGTTTAATATTTTCAAGTCACAAAAGAAACGTTTCTCTGAGTCCTAAGTTTCGCAAATGTTTGTTGATATATGTAGTGCATACTTTCCCTTGACCTCAGGGTAAATTTCACAAAGTTGATTTTAAGAATCAAGTGTTTCCGAAGGCCATGTGTTTGCTTCTCTTTTTAGGAATTCAGGTGCTTGAAACCAAGAATGAGGAGCCATTAGGTGTTTACGTGATTATCCGTGTGAACAGTGGTCAGTCGGGTTTCCAACAGACATTTTGTCGACTCTGTCCAGAACTGTACCCTTGCAACAGGTGTAGTCAGTTCATCTTTCAATGTGTTAGGGAGACAGACACACTGCCAAGACTGTTTCTTGTAGTCCGAATTTAGAAATAGTCAAGGATGGCTGCAATGAAGCAACATGCGTTTTAGACGCCACAAGAGAATAATCCCATTTCGGACGCCTCAGCAAACAAGTGAAGTTCAAACCATTTCAATGAAGTCAGAGAACAACTTTCTAAGAGCCATTCTTCTCATTTCTTTGCCAAAATTTTAGGAAGCGGGTCATCCCAAAATAACTTCGCCCTGAATATGAATCGAGTGAGAAATCGACAAGGGTCGAAGGCTGAACTTGACTGTGCTAACAACTTCTCGTTTCAAAGGTAAGCCATCTTACTGGATGGGGTCAAAGGCAAAGTAGTCATCAGAGACATTCCATTTGAGACCTTGCGCTCTTTGAATGAGTGGATTGTCTTAATTTAAGTTCACGACTTACGACTCTTGCTCAGTAGTTGTTTGTTGAAGGTTACAACAATTGAGGTATCAGTAAAGCTTTCAGAAATGTTTTATAAAAAAATACGTCTGGTGCCATGCCCTATTTTGACTTGTACTATGTGTTCCCATGTTTTTTGCAGGTACACAATTGACTTGGCTTTGAATGCGTTTGTGATGGATGCCACTGGTAAGGCTGGATACACTCACCTTTTAGCGAATACCTAGAATAATATCACTATCGGATAGCGATTCATTAACACATGATTTAGTTTGAATCGTACACTCGACACGGCAGGAAACTGCCCCCACTATGTTGCGAAACGAACATATTTCTAAAACGTGTTTCTTTACTAAAAAGCAGTGTAATCTCTGCACTGTTGCACAACAGACGTAATTCAAAATGTACATATCATTTTTATGATGTTTTTTATGTTTCAACAATATCAGTAAAAGCACTTTCGTGTCATTGCATTTTCTGGTCCATCGATCACTAGATTGTCTGGTTCATTACAGGCAATAATTATGTACTTTTTATGGAAGTCGCGTGAAGGGCGGGTCCTACCAGTAGGGCAGGACATGCTTACCTTTTTAGTCAACATCTGATATTCAGTGATAATATATATAATTTTCACAGATATTTTGCCTTTTACACACAATGGAATCTGTTTTGACGGATGGCTATTCTCTGGCGTTACCTAGTTAAGTAGAGATTTCTTATGATTATGGGCATGTATTTGTCGGTTTTATTTTATTGCCTCAGTTAAAATGGATATTACAGTCCTTGTACGCCATGGCGCAATACATTGCTCATAATCTCAACTTCAGTTTTTTTTCTGATCCAGACACGAATGTTTTGAGGCCTTTCAGGCATGTGTTGAATACCGCAGACTGCAACATAACACAACATTCTCTCATTTTTTAATAAAGATAAAATTTAAATTCCTGATGACACGTGACGAAAATATATGTGCATAACATTTACAAAGCAGCAGTACCTGGTTTGTGTGTAATGTAGACGTGGCTGGACATCTGTTCTACCTTTTGTAAGTGAAATACCTCCTGACAGGACTCTTGGTACAGGTAAGCTCACTTGTGTTAAAGGTACCACTAGAAGTTTGAATGGGAAACCACTCTTTGTTTATAATGCATCAGAAATCCATTTTGTTTGACTTCAAAATTGTGAAAAATAATAAGGATTTTACTTGGCTTCAACGGTCACAAACCAACAATCATCAAGTGGGATATATATTATTGTAGATATGTGCGAGGATAAATTGTCATTGGTATAATCCATGTTGCTACATATAGTTCACTTTTAAAACACAAACAGATCAATAATATACATTACAAACACTATGCTGAGTAGTACCTATGCCTATCCCAGTATATAACGGGGGAGAGTGGCATTCGCTACAAATGCTTTGGCTCACGTTGGCTCTGGTTTTGTAACGAATGAATTTGTACCCCGTAGTGGGATAGAGAAAAGATGATAATAGATACTGCACCGACAAGGGGATACGGTATTCGGTATCTCCGCAGCTACTTATGGTCGAAGAGCCAGTCGGTGTCTTGGTCAGTACCCTATCTTGACAAGGGTAGCGATTTTTGAATCCATGCGATCCCTTTTAAGTTCAATAACAATAAGTACACTTTTCAAAAAAAAAAAGGAACGCACAGGTAGTATGTTGTTCATTGAACCTGACTACACAAAACATCGGGTATATAAATTGGATATATATTATTGGAAATTGATCATGGCCTGATATTCGACAAACGGTGCGTCAAAATGCAGCCATTGTCGATTTGCAATGTCTTAAACCGCATTGTTTTCACACTTGTTCAGAAATGTCATGGAGAAAAGTGGCTACAAAAAGGCAAGCATAAGCCAATAATTTGTCATTCAATTGTCAACATTTTTCAAGTTCGAAAATGCCGAGACTCAGCGCTGCCGATTGGAACATCACCATAGGACATATCCAAAGAGGGGAATCGCAGTCTTCTGTTGCACGCCACTTCAACGTCCACCACCTCGCCATTTGCCGCCTTTGGGACCAATACACACAGTTTAATTCCACTGCAGACTGTCTGAGAACCGGCTGACCACAGGATCGCTACATTCGCCTGTTCCACCTACGTCATTGCAATGCCACAGCTACGGACACTGCAGGCCGCATCCCTGTTTTGAGGAGGATATCGGACCAGACTGTCAGGAACCATCTTCGCGAAGCTGGAATCCGACCCAGAAGATCAGTTATCGTCCCTGTTTTGCAACAGATCTATCGACAGCGACGCTGGCGTTGGTGCCATACCTTACAGCCTTGTAATTTGAGAAACTGGAGTGTATACTAGCAGGGAGCATAGACGCCCCTTTAAATCAAACTCTGTGATAAGACGCAACTTGCATTTGGCGAATGACAGTGTGCATTCAAAAGTAAATTGACATAATTGCACTGAAGGTATTTGTCATTCCATATAAAATCGTTCACAAAATAAAAATATAAAATATAGAAAATAGTGCTATTAATGATCTCTCTTAACATACTTTTGGGAGTGGAACACTGCATTTATTCATAGAGTACCAGGGACGTGGTGTACATTTAGCAACCTGTATTAACAGTTGTTTAGCATTCCGAAACCATCTACGAATAATTATCTTAGTTATAAAACTTCAGACTTGCATATTGCGTGATTTTGATATTTTTATTGCATTGTTTCGTGAACATTCTGCTTAGAACTGTCAGTGAACATGCCATTTTGTTCAAGATGTCACCGGAAGTAAAGTCATGCGTAAACATCGCTGTACATATTTGGTATGTTCAATTTGGTGAAGGTCCGGTGAATATAAGTGCACACACTCATTCTAACTTGTTATTTACAGTTTCATTCATAATGTAGATTTTGCACATCATATAAATGTTTTGTATCATAGTTCATACTTAACAATAATGATATATTACTCATACCAAAAGCAACACATTATAAGATTCTTCTAATGTTTCTATGTACGTTGTTTACAGAATAGGAAAAAATACAATATCATCAGCAAAGAGAAGGAGCATTATGTCCATTATTTCTTGTGTTACAAATATCCAATGTTGACAACTATTTTGCAGCTCACTCATAAAGTTCAATTATGAAAAATATAAACAACAACGGACTTAAAACACAACCTTGTCGTACACCGGAGGCTGTTGTAAAGCAGTCCGTACATTCATTATTGACCTTTATACATGCGCTGACTGATGCATACACGGTTTTTAAAAGTACAGACATTTTACCATGACAACCCTTAGTAATAAGTAAATACATCATATTTTTCCTATTAACATAGTCAAAAGCTTTTTTAAAGTCAATAAATACACAATATAAACGACCTCTGGTTTTGCACAAACATTTAGAACAAAGAGCTTGTAAAACAAACAAGTTATCAACAGTAGAGTAGTTTGGTCGGAACCCTGCTTGAGACTCGGACAGTATATCATTTACTTCCATCCATATTCTCAAACGTTTTTCTATGATTGACGTGAAGATTTTTCCTATAACATTTAGTAGTTAAATGCCTCTATAATTACTTGGTTCACCAACTGACCCAGATTTATATAATAAAATAATCACACTTATATTCCAAGATTCTGGAAATACACCCATGTCTAAGTATGGTGTAAAGAGATTCGATGGTAGTTTCAAGAATTCAGGGAGTATCCCATCTTCACCTGCGCACTTGCCCGTATTCAGGTTATTGATAGCGTCCGTGACCTCTCTTTCAGTGATCTCACCTGACAGGAGCTCATCCAAAAAGGGTAAATCATTGCAGTTATCACACATGTATGAGAGAGCAGAAACTCCCCCACAACACAATCAAACTCATTATTATCAATTCCTTGTTAGGGATTAAGAAGATCTCTAAAGTAAATCAGCCAGTCACTTTTAGATACTTAACTACAAAAGTTCCTGTGACACCAATATTTTAGTGTATTTTTCAAACAAGTAAAGTTTGGGTTTCAATATTGTAGTACATGTATGGAATCAAGTCACAAAAACGCAACTTCTACAGAAAAGCATGTATTCCATGCAAAAGTTGACTTTTATGCAAGCCCCATACATTTCACTACCCAAGAATGGATATAAAAACATGTGCGTTAACGGGATTCCATATGCGTTGTTTAGCATCGTGCTGACAACAACCACTCAGAAAAACAACAAAATACGCAATTATTCAACATTACGAAATGCCACGCCTGTCCGAAAATGAGCGTCTGCGAGCCATTGGTATGCTTGAAGCAGGATCCAGTGAACGTGATGTTGCAAGACAATTTAACGTCCACAGAAACACCATTTGGTGTTTATGACAACGTTGGCAACAGACGAATGCAGTCATCCTCGGAGTGGCAGGCCACGCGTAACCAATAATCGACAAGACAACTGGATTCGAACAACACACCTAGGAAATCGATTCCAGCCACCAACAGTGACTGCGAAAAGCATCCCTGGCCTTCGACGAATATCTTCACAAACCGTACGTCGTCGCCTCAGATGTGCAGGGATTGTCGCCAGACGTCCCATTTTGGCAGGAAACCACCGTCAAGCTCGTCTACAGTGGTGCAGACAGCGTCTACGCTGGACGGCCATGCATTGGGTACAAGTTCTATTCACTGACTGGTCTCGTTTTCACCTCAGCCACAGTGATGGACGGATTCGAGCGTACCGACGTCGAGGTGAACGTTACGTCAATCATTGTGTCAAGGAAGAAGATCGGTTCGGGGGCGGCAGCGTTATGGTATGGGGTGGGATTACAGCAAGACAAAGGACCCGTTTGATAGTGGTAGAGGGAAATCTCAATGGACAGCGCTACCGCGACAAGATCATCAGCACTGTTTCAACATGACAACGCCCGGCCTCATATTGCTCGACGTTCAGGATTCTCTTCAACAAAACAACGTGAATGTCATCCCCTGGCCGGCTTGCTCCCCTGATCTCTCACCAATCGAGCACATGTGAGATGAGATGGATCGGCGCCTTCGACGTCAACCACGTGTTCCACAGACACTCCGGGAACTTCGAAACATGCTCCAGCAGATATGGACAGATATCCCACAGGATTTTTGCGACGCCTGGTCCATCCCATGAGACGAAGATGTGTTGCATGCATCGCCACCAGAGGTGACACACACGCTATTGATTTGTAAATTGACATATTGACATGGTCATGTTTTTTTTTAATGAAATCACGCATTTTCTGAAGTCACTATGGCAAATTAAACCATTTGAACACTTACAGGAGTCTTTTATCTGTTGCAAACCAAAATGATGTGTAAAACTGAACTGTATTTGATATGACAGGGTAAAATTGAACCTATACTTGATATGGGCTCAAATATTGATATGATAGAAAACCATACAGTTTAAGTCTAAATGTAGCTTTTTTTATATGAATACTTTGTTCACAGCGCCAATGGAGTCTCACATGTTTGGAAAATGGGATTACACAGTGTTTGGTATCATGGTAGCCGCCTCGGTGAGTACTGGCATATACCACGCCATAGTCGGCAGACATGATAGACTGGAGGAGTACTTCCTGGCTGGACGCGCTATGCCCTTCTTCCCCATAGCGTTGTCGATGCTGGCTTCGTTCACGTCCATCATTACCATGCTTGGAGCATCAGGAGAGGCGTATAGTAATGGCATCATGTGGGTTCTCAATGAAATAGCGCACTCTGTGGGAAAAGTTATAGACATGTGCCTCCTGCTGACCCTTCTGAAGAGACTGAACTTATCAAGCCCATTTCAGGTAGTGTTGGTTTCAGTTTCTCGATGACCATGAACAGTCAGTCGACAGGGGAGAGCGTCTTTTGTAGCGCATGCATTTGTCTGGCAAAGGGGAGGTTATGTTTCCATTTCATATCCCCACCATATTGTTACTATAACAGCAACATTATGGGTGTTAGTTGTTCCTCTCAAAGTTTGTCTGAAATTATAATTGGTTATTCATCAGTTCTATTTGCACTGGCATTTGACCATAATCTGTTCAAGATTACTTGTGTTGTGTTTGAATCTCCGCCAAATGCCAAGCCCATTATACGCTCCCGACTGTATCACACATTTCACAATTTGACGCATCAGTGACACAAATGATGTTCAGTACTATTCCTAATTTTGACTTGCACTAAATGCCCTCTTGTTTGTTCAACGTTTCGTCGAATATGGATGTCTGCCAAACACCTTTATATTATTTTAACTGCACAACTGACACAGCTGCTTGCAGATATTTTTGTAGAAATGATTTCTTCATTTTTATTTTTGGTGAATGCACAAATGTTATATTCTGTCCATTAGATGTTATATTAAAATAAAGACACGTCTGTATTATTTCAATGCATTTATTTCTCTGAGATCGAATAAACAATCAGTAAAAACATGTGTCAAAATATAAAAATTATGGTAAAATTAGTAATACATTGCATTTGTTGTCAAATGAAATGATCCCACTTTCAATAAGTTTTTTAATTATTAATAATTTCTTATTATGAAAACAAAACGCCCGACTAATACTCTACGTAAAATCTATGGGTTTGCCAAACCCCTGTATCAGGTAAATAATCATCACAAGTGTACCCTAGTACATGTCATATGATACACAGGTTTTTTGGTCTCGAGAATAAACATTTTTAGACTAAAAGTTTTAATCTTTTCAGTACTTAGAAGGATATACAAATTATATTTTTGAAACAGATTTCCATTGTTCTTGTCTTTTCCAGTATATCGAGGGTCGCTTCAAGTCCAGACTTCTCACCCTCATTGTGACGGTGGCGTCTTGTGTACACAATGTAAGACACCTGTGGAAATCAACAGTTTGACCTCTGACTAAAATCAACTTCGTGAAGCCAAGGACAGTTATTTATACGTTAATGTCTAGACATGGTATCATATGTATTTAAGGACAGTTTGTGAATACACAATGCCATTTAGAAAATGGTCAAATGTAACAAATGTTATATTTGGGAGAACACTTTCTTAGTAAAGTACAGATTCTCATACTTTTTATGGGTTGAGTCCCGTCCGGGATTCGAACCCACACTTGCCAGAGTGAGGCACCTAATAGCCAGCACACGAAGTCAGCAATCTAACCCACTCAGCCACCGAGGCTTCCACAAAAATGGTACTCCTCGTGATCCTGCTACAACTTATATTATTCTAGCCAGTCTGGGTCTGTTGCATAAACCGTGTCATAAATGGAAAGCCACGTGGCAAGATTTGCTAGGCTTCGCATTCAGGTACACAGTGTACACATGTACTATACAATGCCGCTCTGTATTGACGTCGCGGCTCCAATCCTGTGTCTACTTGTATGTCGATGATGGAATCATCTCACAGTGAAGAGAAAGAAGAGTCCAAATGTCTGTAGCTAGTTATGAAATATACAAATACAATTAATAACAGGATAAGTCAAGACAAGCAAGGGGTATCCTCTATTTATATGCAGCAGAATATCTGCACTTGTACACAATGGACGAAGTTCTTATCCGACTTATTAGTTACACCAAACACAATGAAGGTGTTTTCATGTGACTCGATTGTCTGGTCCATCGATCACTTGTTGTAGGGTTGGTCAGTTGTAGGGTTGGTCAGTTGTAGGGTTGGTCAGTTGTAGGGCTGGTCAGTTGTAGGGTTGGTCAGTTGTAGGGTTGGTCAGTTGTAGGGCTGGTCAGTTGTAGGGTTGGTCAGTTGTAGGGATAGTCAGTTGTAGGGCTGGTCAGTTGTAGGGTTGGTCAGTTGTAGGGTTGGTCAGTTGTAGGGCTGGTCAGTTGTAGGGCTGGTCAGTTGTAGGGCTGGTCAGTTGTAGGGTTGGTCAGTTGTAGGGTTGGTCAGTTGTAGGGCTGGTCAGTTGTAGGGTTGCTCAGTTGTAGGGATGGTCAGTTGTAGGGATGGTCAGTTGTAGGGCTGGTCAGTTGTAGGGTTGGTCAGTTGTAGGGTTGGTCAGTTGTAGGGCTGGTCAGTTGTAGGGTTGGTCAGTTGTAGGGTCGGTCAGTTGTAGGGCTGGTCAGTTGTAGGGTTGGTCAGTTGTAGGGTTGGTCAGTTGTAGGGCTGGTCAGTTGTAGGGTTGGTCAGTTGTAGGGTTGGTCAGTTGTAGGGCTGGTCAGTTGTAGGGCTGGTCAGTTGTAGGGCTGGTCAGTTGTAGGGCTGGTCAGTTGTAGGGTTGGTCAGTTGTAGGGTTGGTCAGTTGTAGGGTTGGTCAGTTGTAGGGTTGGTCAGTTGTAGGGATGGTCAGTTGTAGGGTTGGTCAGTTGTAGGGCTGGTCAGTTGTAGGGTTGGTCAGTTGTAGGGTTGGTCAGTTGGAAGGTCGTCAGTGTTATCTCTAACACAAAGTTGTACAGTATTGAACTCGTTGCTTACTATAAACAGTTAATAAAGTAATAGTAGAAGTGAATTACTTTCTTATCCATCACTACTATTTTTCACTACTACTGTGATGTGTATTTGGGTAATCGCTGTGCATGTTTGGAGGCAAATATTGCAAACTACTGAAAGGATTCCCTCGTTCAAAATCGCTGAAAGTTTTATAGATAAATACATGTTTCAACAAAACTAGTATTCAGATGGTATATGTTTGCTTCTACATAGAAGGATATTATATCAGTGAAGAATATTTTTCCATCATCCTGTCTCACAATGTGCATATTTGTAATGCAATCTTTTACATCACGCATAATTGATTTTACTATCAACACGAAAATACTGAGCACAATGCTCGTAAAATAACTGATTACAGTATATAACCATGAACATGCTGATGTTTCTACCTGTCTATTACCAGTGTTATTATCAAAGGAAAACAATGAAAACTTATTTCACCGTAAACTGAACATTTAATCTAAATACATCTGATCTATCGGCTCATACTGTTTATATGCAGACTTTGGGGGGAGGAAGAGGCTACAGAAATACCTTTTTGATATACTTATCATTGTTGCCCCTTATCACAGCTGCCCCTTGACTATGTTGGAGATGCGGCGGTTAAGTTACTTGCACTTGGTCTTGATGGCGCGAATGTTGTTGGCTCAGCGCCATTCGAGCCACGGTGGCAGCTGGGCAGCTCAGGGGGATGTATAAGAGGTGCTGATACACACTATCAAAAGTCCTTGGAGGGGACCCGACACAGGTCGATGGAGCCGAGGTGCAATATTATATACAACCTGCATGGGCTCCTCTCCTCGATCAGCTTCTCAATCCGACCCTTAAGGTCCTGCCATCTAAGGCCTCCCTTGGCCGACCTCACTACACCCCTATCCAGGCCCAGGTTGCTGCGCTGAGGCATAAGGTAGCTGTGCAGTCTGGCCGCGTAGTTGGACCCGATTATCCAGGCTGGCCCTTTAACCAACAAAGCAGTGATGTTAGTATTACCTAAGTAGTGGAGGTATTCTGATGGAAGTTTTGAATGTAGCTGATGTCCACGCCCTAACTGCTGCATCTTCTGCGGCGGATACCCTGTAAGGTAGCTGTTGTCACTGCTCCGATATGGAAGGAATGTGAAGAATAAAGATTAGCATTTATATCGTCTTTTGGTGGCATTAATGTTTTTCTCAGCACGGTCTGAAATTGAAATTTTGTTAAAGGTGAAGAGTTTACATGTAAGAATAAATATCCACTTTTTGCTGGCCGAACTGTCAAGAAAGATGCCAGGGCATAGTGTGGACTGAGGAGTGGCCTGTATAGAAATGCGAGTGCCACGGCCTCGCTGGTCTGTCTTCAATGATCTTAGGACAACCTCCATGTAAGATAGATCGCTGGCAAAGGACAGGTCAGATAACAAAAATGCCCTTTGTGTTGTGTCTGTTGCTGAGCCAGCCACTACTTCCCTTACCCTGCAAAAGCCAAAGAAGGTTAACAGGTATGCCGACGAGAAAGGTGATGCTTCATAAGATTGCTACTTACTGTGGGGAGGAGCTGCATGATGCGGAGTAATAATTCCACAGTGATAGGTTGTCTTTCGTCAGCGTGCAGAGAGAGCCTGGACATCCCAGCAATGGCCTTCTGCTCTAGAAAATGGTTACACATGCCCTGCAAAGAATTTGGCCTCTGCACTGATGCCAAGGCTGAGACATAAGAGCGTGCTGTACAGGGTGACCTACCTGACAAGGAGAGGTGTGCAATGAAATGGAGTAAGTGGTCTAACTGTACCAGCCAGATGTCTGGCAGGGGGTACACTGCCCTGAAGAGTTGTAGCGATTTAACCACTGCATCATTAGTCCTCCATGTATTAGGGGCAACTGAGCTGGCCACTGAGCCGGCCACTAAATTGCTTACTTCTGTAGTCAGACGAGCCAAATGTCTGGTGGGATCTGGGTTGCCTGCTGGTCCACTTGAGATGCTGCTGCTCGAAACCGGGCCCACTGAAATCTCGAAAGAGTGTCTGCAATTATGTTTGCCTGGGTTGGTATGTAATGAGCTTTGAAATGTATGTTGTTTTTTAAACATAAAAGTACCATTTGCCTGATGAGTTTCATGACCCACTGACCCTTTGTGATATGTTTATTGATGATACTCACCACTGCCTGGTTGTCGCAGAATAGTAATACCCTTTTGCTGGCTAAGCTGCTGCCCCAGATTCTTATGGCCAGCACTATTGGGAAAAGCTCCAATAATATATTGTCTTTGACCCACCCCTGCTGTATCCATTGCTCCGGCTAACCGCTGTTAGTCCAGTGACCCTGAAAGTATGCTTACTTACTTACTTATATTGGAGATTTTACGTGCGCTTTCCGACTGCAGCGTATTTCGCACACGGGCCCGGCCAAGCCATTTAATGTGTTTCCGAAAAGGGGAAAAAGTTGTTTGGCAATCCAGTGGGGGTGTTTTAGTGGTTGCTTATATAGAATTTTGGAAATTTTGAAATTTTGAAAAAATGCCAAGAGGGTTTGGGGGACGAACAGTATGCTATCATGGTTACAATTTATACTAAGTTATCCTATAATAATTAGATCCACATAAAGTGCTTTTATGTGTTACCATGGTGTAATATTTATACATCATTTCATATAATAGTTTAGCAAGTAATACTTATCATCAGGTAAAATGCATATATAAAATATCAGTAGTTTCAGTCTATAGCTTTTTAGACAGATGCTAGCCTAAGGTAATGGGAGCGCATCTCCTAGACATACTATTCAATAAAACAAGAGTAACGTCTACATAGTTTAATTGATTTGAAGCTTTTAGATAAATGCTAGCCTAAGGTATCAAGATCCCATCTCCCAGACAAAGGATATGTCTACATAGACTTATAGATTACCTTGAACTATTTTATTTAAGTATATCTGTAATCACCTACCGGGGTATATTAGAATAACATTCAGCAATTACTTCAATTAAGACTCATTAAGGATTAGCCCCCATACAAGCTCGTCTATAGGGCATTAAGGATCAGCCCCCATACAAGCTCGTCTAAAGTGCATTAAGGATTAGCCCCCATACAAGCTCGTCTATAGTGCATTAAGGATTAGCCCCAACACAAGCTCGTTTATAGTGACACCATAATCTCTTTCAAAGCATCCAGTAAATATGTCAACAAGATTAGTGCCAGTCCAACAGGATTAACAGGATCAAGTATTCCCCTATGTCTAGCCATTCATTTAGCATAGGGCACAACCAATCGTGTATCAACCAATCATATTCGTTTTTATTGTTCAAATTTTTGTTAAATACATACTGTAGCAACATGATAGGGCAGAGAAGGGGTTTGACTCTCTTACCAAGCAGACCTCGCTCCCACTGCCCAGAGTGTTGTACCGACTCTCTGTGGCCCCCTCAGTTACTTTCTAAGATATTTTAACTTGCTCATTGTTAATTGTTCTTGTAAATAAAATTGTGATTAGTCTCCTGTGACTCCGGCTCTTTGCTGACTAATTCCCCAAGAAAACCAGCACGCCATTTGGAAGGTATTTTTCACCCAGAACAGTCCATGATAATGCTCTGAAGCCTTGGCTGCCCGCTGCATCTGTATATAGTTGAAGGTGTGGGGTGGTGAGCCACTCCTGTTCCAGAAATAATGTTGTGTCGTTGTGATTTATGAGGAATTGTAGCCAGAGGTTGAGGACGTCCTGCATGCCTGCTGAAGTGCTTATTTGATGATGAGTCTTGCGTGCCCCTTTCTGAGCATCTATGAGACGCCGTAGGAATGGGCGGCCCATGGGGATTGCCCTGCATACAAAATTTAGCTTACCTACTATAGATTGCAGTGTATGCAGTGTAACCTTCCTGCTGGTTCCTTCTCGTATTTGTGACAGTTGCTGGACCAATTGAAGCACCTTGTCCCTTGGTAGCCTGACTTCACCCTTCAGCGTATCTATGGTGAGGCCGAGAAATCTAAGGCAGGTTGTGGGAGATACAGTTTTATGGTGTGCAACAGGTACCCCTAACAGGTACGTCAGGTACGGCAGCCTCCCCTTGCAGTGTCGCATCAGATTTCTTTGGCACAGAGCCAATTGGGGAAACTATAAGGTTATGAAAAGGTTTGTGAGAGAATGGACCTGCTTTGCATTCTCGTTCAATTTCTTTTTGTAGCTTTTCCTTGACAACTTGTGGGAGAGAGTAAGCGGCGTTAAGGTTCATAGCATCGCGTGGTTCCCGGGGATACTGATACTGTAAGCTAAACCCATGACTGAAGCCTAGTTTTAGTAATAAGGCTGCTCCTGGATTGATAAACTGGTAACGTTGTAGCCATTGTTCTAACCGCGAAATATTAATTGGGGTTGGTGCCTTACAATGTGTTTTTGCTGGTTGCTTTGGTGCTGGTGCTTACATTGGCTTAGTCTTTTTTCCATGAAAACAAGATGAAGCTACATGGCCGCCAATGTTGCATGACAGGCATTTGTGCGCGTAATGGCATGACTGCCCTCTGTCCTATCCTTTGCGATTGAATTTCGGCTGGTGTTGACGGGCGCTGTACCTGGTTAGAAAACCTTGAGGGTGTTATGTTGTGCTGCCTCTGGTTGGGTAGTATCAGCTGCAGCCATAGCTGCCAATGGGGCGAAACTGTATGTCGTATTGTGCCCAACAGTCGCCCCCAAAGCGTGTCGCAGCACCGCGGATCGTCTCGACGTAGGTGAGCAGCTCCTGCATTTTGTTGATGTGTGTGCTTCGCTCTGTGATAATGCTGATGTAATTCCAAGACCCGATATGAAGAGGCTTGGATGGCTGTTGCCTTGGCTTGAAGGTTACCTGGCCTGATGAATCCAGTTCCATGATAAAGTTTGATCCTTCCTGTGTTGGCTGTCTATCTACAATGAGGTCTCCCCAGTATATTTTTTCCCTAATTGCCTGTTTGACGTGAAACCCAATGGTTTCGGCGTTGAAATTTAGCTGTTGATTACTGGCTAACTAGGTTGCGGCGTTCATAATTGGCTGATCAGCAGTTTGAGAAGCTGTGATGGTTCAGTAAGGCTGCTGCAACGTGGCCACATTTTGGTGCCCTTGACTAATGGATTGTGCGTTTAGCATTGGTTGATTGGCTTTTGATAAGCCGTGTTGAATTGTGTGATAGGGTCGGCGACAGGTATTTGGTTAAACTGTACATACGGGTACATACCTTGATTGTTGTCACCCCTGCAATGGGGGTGACGATTGATGGTTAAGGTGAGCCGGATCCCTGAGGTTCCCGTGCCCCCGTGACGGCTGTGGGGCGACTTTGGGGCGCCATGGTCGAGGGAGGAGCTGTTGTTGCACAAGGAGTCGCGGGGATGGCACCACTCCTGCGAAACTTCCCGGGCGCCTTTGTCAGTACAGTATTTGGGCGAGGAGCCGCGGTCAAGGGGATGGCACCTAAACCGCGAAAGTCCCCCACCCTCTGCTTAGCTACCTTGGCCTGGCCTCTGACAAGCGTATTATTGAGAGCCGCTCTACGCTTGGGAGGCATGGTAGTTGTGCGCAGGAAGAGCGAGAGTTTAAGAAAGTTTAAGAAAGAATTTAAAATGATGTGCTGAACAGTAACAGATTAGAAGTTAAACACATTAGTAAACAATGCCACGAGCGATAGAATTTCAGCAATAAAAATGAGAATGCCAAAAGTGATAGTAAGCACAGTACGATGCTTTGGTGAAAGGAAGTGACGTAGGGTAGAGAACGTGACGTAGGCCACTTAAATGTAGGGAAGTGACGTAATTGCCATTGCTGATAAAAACGGAAGTAAATGGGGGATTACATGTTTGAGGTGAATTTTGTCTGTTAAAAGTAGGCTTACTTATAGGGGGAATAAATGGTAGAATGTAAGATAAATGCTGCCTATAAACCCATCTATCGAATTACTGCTAAATTTTAATATGTGAGGGTTTCTTGGTTGCCCTGTTAGGACTAAATCAAGGACAATGAAACAACGTCATCGGAAGATTGTAAGTAGTAGAATTGCAGTGGACGGTAGCTGGTATATTCAATTTGTCCTAGAGTACCATCTCAAGAGTTTTGTATCGTTAGCAACAGCACGATACACCATATGACTGATCCAAGTCAGACTGACATTGGTTGCCCAGAGCATTGCAGACCACGTTCATAAATCAGGTCAAAGACGCAAGTCAGAGGTAATGTTTTGGTGCAAAGACATGGACATCTACAACGTCATTCTTTTCAATTATGCAGATTATGGCCTAACCATCAATGGAGCACTATTTGATTCAGCTCACGGCGTCTTTCGACAGAACAATGCTAAGGCATACAGTACATGCAACAACTGAATTCCTATGGGACCACACTGATCAGGTAGTTACGTGGGCCTCTAAATAGCCAAATTTGAACACCTTAGGATCAGATCACTGCGTCCGACAAACAAATCCTTAACCAGCAAGAGCAACAGCTTGCACATGCACAACAGGACGGCTTGGCTAACATCCCCCAACGTGTTGTCCGTACTCTCTTTTCGTCCATGGGCAGGAGGTGCCAGGCAGTAGTAAACCCTATTTCTCATAACCTGCATCTTTGTCATTTTCCATGCATTGTCTTTGTATTGGACACATGTCTACTGACGTCTCGCTTGCAATATATCATAGCCTGGTATCATAACTATTTGATAGTGATTCATAAACACATGATCATAATATACTTCTGGAAAGCGTTTTGTTTCTTTTATAACCCTCGTGTGCTGTAAATGCGTGTTACTTCCCACATCCAACATCTTACCTGGAGTACACTTTATTAAAAAGATATATTGGGCAATGAACTGCTTTGCAGTTTGCATACATATGCTGACCAATTAAGAGCCATTAGAGAGATGAATAAGGAACTAAGTTTTAGTTTATGCGAATGACAGGAACTTTGTAGATTATGGAACCGGATGAAAGTTTTGTCAGGTAAATCGATGACAGTACATGAATGTTTATCCTTTACAATCTGCAGAATAAGTGATACTCACTGTTTCCATGAGGAGATGAATTTTAAGGTTCCTTTTTTTTGTTTTCTGAAAGGTGCATCTGTCTGCAGTTTAATTTCAACATGACATGTTTGTGTACAGTTAATCAATGAGTTCTATTGGATGAAGTTTTGCTTTCCTATTTGCCAAATAGTGATACAAATGTTACCTTGACTCCAGTCCTTGGCCTTTATTTTGAATTGAAACATGTTTCATCTCAGTGAATACTTACGTACAGATAACGGTCGACAACGCCTTTGACTACACGTACACATGCACGTGCAATAATGGCGGTGCCATCCAGTGAAACCCAGGTTTAGCGCTATTATACAGCAATGAAATATCTGTAGTATTAAATTGTTAGGTTTGCAGGTTGGAGAATCACTCCTCGCTCTCAGTTTTACTCATCAAATCTCTCCTACTTCAGGGTTTACAAAACCGAGTCTTGTTTTACCCCTACATGCTTTTATCTTATTCCTTATTGCTTATTTTTCAGATGTTCTACATGAGTGTAATCTTGTTTGGACAGGGAATGGCATTGCAGGCCGGTAAGACAAAAGGACGACATTGATTAAGACATCCTTTGTTGTATATTTACCAAACAACGATGGTGTGCACAGTTGAAACGTTCTAGCCTTAACCCCATACTTATACACCTACAGCTACGCTAGCTATCCTGCCACACAAACTGTACTCATAAACACTCAAGTGACATCCCATAATTGTGCTGACACCAACACCATCGCTACCACGTTTGTACACTGTACAAAGTTTGTACTCCCTTTGTATCAAACCTGCATACAACATGTACCACGCATGTTTCGCGTGACCACCACATTTCTACATTTATGGACCACAACCCTACCAGTTCATAACCTACCTATAGTAAATCATCTGCATCTATGATGGAAAGTATATATTCAGTGATGTCGTGAGTTGGTCCAATTTGTATGCATCTCTAATAGCGTTTTAATAGAGAGCGAGGGTAATCAGGATCGGGACCCTGATGGCGACTTACAGCTGAAGACCGAAGTCTCTACAGACTGGTGAATGCATCCACCGATCAGATACTCAGTCTGGGAAAACATGAAACAAATTATAATAAACTCAAACAATCGTGTCAAGGTTTATTATTTCTGGAGAGAAAACGTAATACAACGAAACTGGATTGGGTGCACATCTCGATCTATCTGCATAAATGTGTCTTGGAGACATGTGCAAGAACAAATGGCCCAAATTGATGCAGACCTTGGACGTCAGTAAGGAGATGTCTCGAAGGTTTAGAGCCCATATTGCTCATGTAAATACTAAAGGATGAATCCGGCAAGTTTATGCATTGAGCACATCGCACCGAGGTTTTGCAACGCCCACGACATAGTGCAGGTCTATGATGAAAACACCTGTCTGCAAGCCAGCCACACGGTGACCGCGCGTTGACTGCTCGTCCATGATGGAAAACGACCAGTAGAAATGAAAACTGCCCAGTCAAAGAGGGAAAATAAACAAAAAAGTAAAAAATCAAATGAATCCTCTTGGTGTATAAACACAAAAGAGAATGAGTTTGCTGGGGAAACCACGTATTCAGCACGTGTGGGTCATCGGCAAGAAAAGCATGACCATAGTGATCAGTGTTTGAGTCAATTTGTTTTTTAAAGAAGCTGGAAACCTTTGTTTCCACATAGTATCAAAAGAAGAAAGAGAAATGCATAGTGTGAGATAGGATAAGTTTAAAGATTATTTTTTTAATGCCAATTATTTCTTAATCCTTTTTAACTCCACTTAAGAAAATGCACTGATCATGACCGCCGTCGTAAAAAACCTCAATTGTTGAATGACGTCAACACTCTTCAGCTATTACGTTGTTTCTAGTGTGACATCATCCAAAATTTATGAAACAGCAAGATTCGAACGACGACAACAATGAAGCTCGGATGAAATAAACAGATATTTGAATAAAGTGATATTTGCCCTTGTGGTGGTTATTTCTTACCAAATGGGTAATAAAGCAGTCTATTTCCTTTTACAAGAAAATAAATTTTGTGGTTTTGGCGAAATTTTTTATGTATTATTTTGCAACCCCAACCCCAAATTCACACCCAACATCGCAACACCCGCAAAGTTACGGCTGAAGACTCAAATTGTTTGTCAGTTGTTTAACTGTTCTCTTTAGCAACATTCCATATATATGACAGCAGTCTGCACATAATCGAGTCTAGGTTATGTACCAATCAACCAAGTCACCAAGTCTGACCATCACCAAGTCATTAAGTCACCGTTTACGACCTGCATAGGTTGATGTGGGGCTATATTCTTATCCCGATTCCCACAACTGTGACGACTCAAGACAATTTACATCTTGTGTATATCTTCCAGTGACAGGGTTCTCCACACTGGCATCAATCTTAGTGACGTCAGCGGCAGCTATTCTCTACACTTCTATTGTGAGTTATTCTTTGGCCATGGTCACTGATCATAACGTGTATTTGTTATTATTTCAAAACAAAAACTATTGTTTCCGAAAATGAATTTATATTTTGAATCCTCTTTCCGAGGAAACCATTGTATGTATTGGAGCTCTGACTGACAATCAATTCGGTCCCCCAGCCCCAGAATATCAAATTTGTTGTTTCCCGATTGGTTTGACTTTGTCATTCATTGTTTACTACTTGAGCAATGCTGCTTAATTGATAAATATATTTTGATTTAGTGAAATGTAACTTGGAAATGCACTATTTTCATTTATAAAAGTGCTTTCAATCTAACACTCAATTTCAAGCAATGTCACGTCAGTATAAATGAATAAGTCAGGCCCAGGCTTTCATTTACTGGATAACTTTCTAGAGCAACGATCCATTCCATCAGGTCACACTTTATTAGCACCTCTTCCTCGTTTCTTGTCTGATAATGGCAGTGACGTGGAATTGGCGGAGTTTTTAAGCATCGCATATTCACTAGTTTCATGTATCCCGAACACATTTCACTTACATTGTTATCTATAATAATGTAATTATTACGTTCCCAGGGTGGCCTGAAAGCGGTGATATGGACAGATGTTCTCCAGTACACCCTTATGTTTACTGGGATACTAGCAGTCACAATAAAGGTGAGAAGTATTCACATATAAGTAGAAATTTCACAAGTAGCAAATGATAACATCAAATATTGCTAGAATCATATAAGGGATAACGTCACATCACGTCACGAAATACGGACGTAGTCTTCAACAAAGTCTTTCATTGTCAGAGGTATGACAAATAAGTTCCTACAATGTCCAAAATTCTACTGTGATGTTGTTTAGAGTGGTGGGATAGGTTCGTGGTTATTGCATTGTCAAGTGACACTTAAGGCTTGGGTGCCCCCCAAACCCAACCCAAGTCATAATATTGCTTTACTGGGATATTTCCTTTATTGATTTGAATTATATTCAAATCTTAAATGAAATGAAACAGGGCACCATTGACGTAGGAGGAGTGCAGGAGATATGGAGCAGGATGAGGTCTGGAGGAAGACTTACTTTCATGTGAGTACTGGTTTTGTCATAAGCGAAAAGGGGTGGAGGAGTGGAGTGCATCTGTTGCAGGGTTGTTGTTAGAGGGAGTTACGCCTTCTACTAGATGAACTGCTGTACATGTATTCACTCGCAGCAAGTAATTGAAGCGCTAGTAAAATGTCGACAGTTGTTGATTTTAATAACAGTCATTGGTGGCGAGTTGACTTAAGAGTGACCTCCCCTGGTTGTTCATGAACATGACAGGTTTAATCGATTGAGAAGTTTCGGGGTGGTTCAGTTTCTTGAAGGCTGTCTTTACCAAGGTAAGAGCGGTGGTTTGAGGCCTTTTTCCACATGAATTGCGACCTATCTCGTAGCCAAGTGATCATTCGATATCTTTCTAACCCCGCCGTTTTCCTGCCAGCTTCCAACACTATCCTACATTCAAGAATGGAGACAAACCTACATAGTCTGAACATTCATGGGTGTACTTTCATTGTTTCTAGGGTCTGTTATTAATTGCTGCTGGCACTTATTTGACCCGTTGTCTTGCCTGTTTTGTTTGTAAACTTACAGTGGTGTGTTTGAATGTATCCTACGATTCATCATTGATCTTGTATGGTCATTTACTGATTTTACAATTTTGTTCTGTGCCAACTGAATAATGGGTTAACCTGTGGGTTTCAATGTTGAAATCACCTCGTAACACTTCACATGAGTACAGGGCTAGAGGTTTGGGTGGATCTGCAGCAGGGTTATGGACAGAGGAAGATTATCCTTTATATGACCTCAGTGGCTAGAGGATAATAAATAAAAGCAACAAAACCCCTTCCATATTCATACGATTGTACGATTCCGACAATATCATGAGTGTGTGAATAGTGATGATATCAGGTTTTCACGAAAAGGTGAGAGTATCCTGCCCCTCCAGTGGCACCCATCACAAACACAGGGTAACGGTAAGTCAATTGTTCACCTGAAAAACATCTAAGGAAAGTGTGCAGGAGGGTATAGTGTTTTAAAGGTTTGAGTCATGTCACCATGTAACTAATCTCAACAAATATATATCGGCCGATTTGTCTGGTTAATTTACTCAGCCTTACGATCATGGTTATTATACATACACACCATCCATCCTGTGTTGTGGTGTTACTGCCCAGTTACTAATACCGCTCATACCATTGTTTGAACCTACTCGCACAGGAAATAATGAGTTAGCCTACATATCAGGTGGGATTGTGATCCATAGCTATACCACTTACTGGTGAAAGATACCTCGTTCATGTCCATCATGTAATGCCCACCCATTTTGTTTGTGTTTTCAGATATGACTTTGACCCGACTATCCGCCACACTGTGTGGATCGTAGGATTTGCCGGAATATTTAATCCACTTGGTCTTCTTTTCCGACCTGCCTATCTTCAGCGTATTGCCGCCACGAAGTCACTCACCGACGCAAGAAGGTATGAACACATGTTTCCAGTTTCTTTTGCTTTCATAATATGATAATTGTATACTAACAGCATCATAACTGGAGTGGACGTCTGGTTACAGCCTTCAGACAGGAGCTACAGGCGCGTTAAAACATACCAACTCATAGTTTACAGTTTCTTAATGTTTTTGCAATATTAAGTGCCATTAAAACAACATTGGTGGTGCGACGTTACATTTTAATTCATTCATTCATGCAGGGGTATTATACCATTTATACATACATCCATACACTTATATGGATTTATATCATGCTAGTATCCAGTTATATCAGGAATGAATATTACTTTGACTGATGGTCGTGTACGAAGACAGCCTTATGTTATGATCAGGTTGAATTGTCTACCTTCTTCACGTTGATGAACGTGCCATAAAAACAGTACCGAATGTTTATGTTAAAGGGCGATGATGATTGGCCTTCTCTGCAGTCCCTTATTCGGAATCCTTTGCGTCATCAGTGGCCTTGTGGCATATGGTTACTATGACTACAAGAGATGTGACCCTGTAGCATCCAATCAGATCGACAAAAGTGATCAGGTATTGGTTAAAGCAAAGGTTAAGCACCTTAGGGTTTAACATGAAAGAGTACAGTCACAACAGCGTCAGTTCAGTGGGTCATCACTATCGAATTTTTATTCAGTCATACATGCACTGTAAATACTGAAAACCCTTTTATATATACACAAAGAAAAAAGTTAAGAACACCCCTATTTCTGAACCATGACAAATGGCAAAAATCATGTCATGGGATGACTGATCACAGAAGCTGGGCGATACTAATGTCATCGGATAGAACGAACATTTGACAACAAAGAAAAAAAGATATTGGTGAGTTGTGATTGAAATTTACTGACAAAACCATCATGGTAACACAGGTACTGTTTTTGACCTTAGACAATATCTAAAAAATGTATGGAGCTGAAGGATTAAGTAAACGAGTTACGTTAGATGTTTCATGTGAAAATGTTCCTTAAAGGCTCTTCTTGACATGACACGGAAACAGATCTGTAGCGAGTATAACCGCCATGTGCCCGGATGACGCATTCCACCCTACGACTCATGCCTCCAGTCAGACGTTGGATCTGTTGATGGGTCAACAATAACCACTTCTGATGCAATGCTGCTTCCAACTGGCGTAAATCTTGTACAGGAGGATCTCGTGCCTGTATAGACCGCCCCAGAATATCCCAAACATGTTCAAGGGGGTTCAAATCAGGGCTCACTGCTGGCCATGGTAGAGTCGTTATTGCATTGGCCCTCATGTAATCCACGACTGCATGCGAACGATGAGGCCTGGCATTGTCATCCATGTACTGAGGTCGAGTTGCAAGAGGGTGGTTTACATCTGTTTCAGACGAGTACTTGTTGAAAAGGGTTCTCGACGTATGAGACGAAGAAGGTCCCTGTCTTCGCGATGAGTCGTCACAGGAGGTCTTCCGGATCTTGGACGGTACTGTACATCGGCGGTCTGAGCATGTTTCTCAACTAAAGGGCTTACGACAGTGTGATGATACCCCAAATTCCGACCAAAGACATTCCTGCGTTATGCATGCTGATTATTTGCCATCTTGTAGCATTTGATAATCACCTTCGTGCCATGAGCTTTCGTCATGCATGAATGATTACATCATCTCGAGGAAACACAATTCTTCCCGCAATTATATATTTCATGACTGTTACACATACTGGGACCAAACAATAATGAAATATATGAGGGTGTGCTTAAAGTTTTTCTTTGTGTATATGTTGAATAAAGAAGAACAGGTTTAAGAATGCATCCACGTGGTCCTTTCGCAAATATTTAAAGATCTATGTTACTGAAAATTGTTGCCAATGTTCACCGAAACTGTGACGATATATTTAAAACTGAGAAAGAAAGTGCTGAGTGAAACACATTTGACTTGCCCTCTTTCTTTTCCATTCACTCTCTCTCTCTCTCTTCCCTAGGTATTACCTTTCATGACGATCGACATTTTCCGAAACATGCCAGGAATGCCAGGACTGTTTCTTGCAGCACTCTACAGTGCGTCTCTCAGGTCAGTTTTGGTGACATGGGTTATAGGATCATAGGGACCTGCTACACGGCCACACAGAGGGTGTATGACGTCGTTTTCACAGATGGATAAGCTTAAAACGAATATATTTTACCACCTTGCTTATCACTTTTCATAATATGAAAACAAATGGATATTGAGGTGCCAAAAAGACTGGGTATGTTATTTCCTTTATTTAAAATTCAAGTATTGCATATAAAGTAAGATAGTAATAAATAAAGTCCATTGTACGATTCCTACTTCATCATAGGTATGTGTTTATGAAATAGTCATGATATCCGATGTTTGCAGAAAGGTGAGCGTATCCTGTAACGTGTAAATAAATAACCATATCCATGTAACCTGCATCTGTCTATCGGCGATATCTATAGGTGCCGGAATGTGCACACGTTAACTGTACAACCACGAACACGTTCACTTGACCTGGAATTAATAAAGTTAAATATTGTCATTTTTCAGCTCATTATCATCAGGACTATCGGCCCTTGCGAATATAACATGGGAGGATTTCGTAAAACCACGTGTTTCTGCAATGTCGGAGTTCAAACAAATGGCTGTTGCCAAAGTCTCAGGTATAACAGAGTAAAACCAGTTATTGCTTCTGAATTATATTTTGCATTCAAGGACACACAGTCCGAGTTGGATGATATGATCTGCTGTTGGAGATACATGTTGCCGGACATGTAAATGTTCATTGAAACACATATTGTCTCTTTTGAGACGTTATGTACAGCAGGGTATCATTCATGACTTGTCATGGCCGGTTTAATCAAGACAACCATATTCGGATGGTGCATTCACGGAATTGATAGCAAACCTCCACATTATCACTGCTATACTGCCGGATGACCACTGCCCCATAGAACATGTCTAAAATGAGATGGAACGACGTTTACAGCGGGACCAGAACTAGCTCATAACGCCAGCTCATTTGTGCAGATCTTTGGTTGATATTTGGATTAACATCCCCCAGGCTGTTTTCCGTCATCTTGTGTGTTTAGTGCGCCGCCACCGCCTCGCCTATATGAACGCAAATAGTGGTCACACTCCATGTTGACATTGTTAATAGAGTGGTTACAGTACCCATCTTTTAGGGCGTGTCGCTCTGTCTCCTGTTACCTGGTATGGGTTTGTCAATGAATTTGTTATGATGAAACATTGATCAGACGAATAACCAATTATTATGTGGTTTTTTTTTCAATAACAAAGCATTTACATCAATTAATATGAAGCACAGTTACTTTTTCCATCAGTACATATCATTAGCATATGTTTATGAATCACTTCAATTAACTAAAAGTTGAGAGTATCCTGGCACCCGTCGCAAACACAAGTAAAGACAAGTCAAATGTTCACCTGAATAAAACAACATGTTCCTCACGTTCGGGCAACTTGGGATACAGACGTTTCCCACCTCTATCGTACCACAATTGTAAATGTACGCCTCAACGGTTGCTTCAGTCAAGTCATTATTTCCCTTATTTCTGTCGGTAGCATATTTTGATATACCTAAATGTTATGATCGCTCATATGTCTGCTTCTCTTTTCAGTGGTGGCGTGGGGTGTTGCTATTTGTTGCGTGGCGATATGCGTGTCATCCATGAAATCCATCCCCCTACTTCAGGTGATAACAGGATAAAGCGCATTATTTTTCTCTCAACGTATTGAAGTAATATTGTTAAATAGTGTATTGATAATTAGTCCGTCACTTTTTTCATCTTCCTACTCTAGGTGAAAAGGTTTCAGGACAATTATCTGTCTGAGAGGGTTGAATTATATGTGATTTAATCATTTACATATTATCATTTTTTAAAGTTTTGCTTTGAATAAAGACAAGGAGGAACTTTGTTTCAGATCTATTACAGCGCCAACTCAATCATTGCTGGGCCAATGTTCAGCCTATTCTACCTCGGTGCCATGTTCCCGTTTGTCAATACAAGAGTATGTATACATTGCTGATTTGCCCACATCAATGCACCGAAACTGTAAATATGTGGTCAGCGTACAGGTTCTAGTAAAACATGATTATAACATTGTTAGTTTCTGATTAGTTTACGATCTACACAGTTTCTTGTTTGTTGTTTGTTGTTTAACGCAATATTCTAGCTATATGACTCTGAAGACCAATTTTAACCCGGATCTTCACGGGTGTCATCTACACCTACGAGATAACAATTTATGTTCGCATGTATATTTATAAATCCTAACATATATAATGTTGATGCCATGTTTATCAAAGGTCATTTTCACCTTTGAGACTATTGTGAAAGACGGGTGTATCATTCATTGCCAGCTATTGTTTCACTTTTACTTTACAATCCTGAGAATTGGCAGTTGTTGAATCTTAAGGAATTGCCTTGATTAAGGTCAAGGTCTGGACAAAATGATTTTGAACTGGAAGGTATTTGGAGTATTTTATGACTTTGCAGGTTTTAGGATATGGTGGTGAAATGCTGGTTCTGTGTTTGCAAGACCTAGTTTCTATATATCTTATGACACACTATTTCTCATCTACTTCGCTTCTTTACATATTATGAAAGTAAACTAGACTGTATTATCAATTAACACTTCATCCATCTCGGAATATGGAACTTTTTGGCAGTCTGGTATTCCGATAACCCTTGTATGGACAGCCGCTAGTAGGACACGCTTCCTTGCTGGACTATCATAATTACTCCGATATGCGATTCCTCTCTATGTAGTCACACATTCACAGAAGGTCGCGTTAAGTGAACAGTGAGCAAACTTTGACCACCCAAACAAAATGAAGGAAGCATCGGTTCTTCGGCCAATCAGAGGTCAGACTTCTTAAAAAAATCAACTTCATGTCTCAACTGCCTCGCTTCGGAATTTTCGATCTCAGCAAAACACAACCTTCAATCCAAAGTATACCCTCCAAGTAAACCCTGTGGGACTTGATGTCGTGACGATCAAAGACTATTTGAACTATTGAGTTTGTGTTAGAAATCTTACAGAATGTGTCTGTCCTCTCTTCGACTGTAATTGCTGCACTGATGGCTTGGCAGAAGGCTCATAGTTTATGTTCGTTATGTTCAGTTTACTATCTTCAATTGTAACAACTGGCGGATTAAATTGGCTAGTTTAGCTTGTATTAATATATATAGTATCCATCCTCTCACCCTAGAGCGCTTTTGTTGCACTGCTGGTTGGGATCAGCTTCCTGACGTGGCTGGTGGTAGGTGCTAGTATTTCCCCAGGGGTGAGGAAGACGCCCCCTCTACCACCTGCCCCGACAGATCACTGCCCGATTGTCAACCACTCTCTGCCATACCCCATGACGACACTGAACTCAACCAGTGATGATCTACGCCAATATACGGGGTAACACATTTTGCTATGTTAAACAAAGAAACAAACAATGTATACTCTGCAAAAAATGTCACACATCATTGTCATTGATGTTACATAAAAAATTATCTTGAATTGTTGATATTTGTTTTGAAAAGAGGAATTACGTTTGTTATGATAATAAGGAGGATGAAGTCAAATACGTCTCCACCCTGAGAGGTATCACCTCATGAAATTCGCCCCTAATGATTACATATTCAATGTTTTCTTTCTGCCAGTCTGGTTATTAAGTAATCTATGATTTCCTGCCAGGTCAGGTCTTGACGCCTTCTACAGCATCTCTTATATTCTGTACCATGTGTTTGGATTCCTCATCGTGCAGGTGGTGGGCGTTGTTCTCAGTCTGGCCACAGGTAAATGCCAATATGACCAACTAATATACTATCTTCACCCTTCCAGGCTGAATATCATTCTAGTCCTATACTGATATGTTTCATTTTATATATGTTCGTAGAACATATATATTCGAAGGGAAAACGAATCAAAACATCGCTATGAAACACACTTTTTGACTGAATACTGCAGGTGGAAACAAGGATGGAGTTAACCCTCTCTACGTCAGAAAGTTCTTCTTCTGGAGGAGTGAGCCGGAAGAAGAACATGTGATGGTCAGTATCATGGACCAGAACCCTAGGTCGCAGAATTATAACCTTGTGAAATGGGTACCAACTACTCTACCTTTAATATACAATTCACCTAATCTGATCCTTCAGAGATAAAATCAAGGAAACAACTGTGAAATCGTATTCAGCTTCTTATGTAGACCTGTGCAAAGAAATTCAACATACCAAGCTGGATAACGGGATGATTTTGATTTTCTAATCGAGAATTTCATCGTCATGCTATGAAATATACCGTTAGTTCCAACTTATGACGTCTCCATTTCTCAACTGTTTAGGTACTTTAAATCATGTAACATGTATTCAAATTTCATGAAAAGCCACATTTCGCTTATGACTAAACTTTCTAATTAAGGCTTCATCATCTGGGGCCTCGTTAATTCATTCCATATAAAGTCTATGGTAGACATCAATCAAACACCAAACTTAACGGATTTGATACTTTACTCAGGTTCTGCTACGTTTCATCGTATCCGAGGCTTCGGACGTTGTATATTCTGTCAGTAACTGGTTCGTCTGGTTATTCGAGTATTTCCCGGGCTTTATTTTAATATTGCTCACTGCAGAACAACAAACAAATAAATGACTAGCATGTGACCCATGCATCCTGTCCTAATACCAGATACTTCATGTGCGCCTGTAGCTATGAACCTAGGCTTCAACATGTGCTTCTCTGTTTTTGTTGCAGACTTCCGGAAGGTTTGCTGACACATCAGATGCCCCGGTGGAAGGACCAAGTGGCTCAAACGATGAGGAGCAAACAGAATCGTTCATCACGAACAGGGTTTTATGATTATTGGAATTAATTTTCATATTATTTACACATTAAGGACACGGGATCCGCATTCACTTTACTTTTCTCAGCATTTGTACATCCTATTCAAGTAATTAAGACAATACTTAGTCGTTACTCTACTTTTCTAACATCCTCTTCCAAACACAATTATGTTTAATTCACCTGTCTTCACTGAAGGTTTCTCTGCGTATATTTAGCTAATAATAATGCCATCAACCAAATGTATTTTATATATTATTATTAGTTGTAGTAGTATGTACAGATTGAAATAAAAATAAATGCAGCAAAGAGGGTTTGGTTGATCCTGGCACAGACAGACTGGTTAGGCTCATCATCAGTTCATGGCCCTTGCCCCCTCTACACGCAGTCCAAACAGCGAATGGGACTTCTCCTAGGAAGCGCTGCCTAATCAAACCAACCCACAACTTTTCGGAGAATGTGAAGACTCCCCAACTCTGCAGCCTTCTGCATTACCCAGATTGTCAGAAGGGCTGTATTCCTTGTAGCAAACCCGGGTATTCTCCCAATGTCAGTCAACAGATTGGGGTACCAAACCTAAGACACCGACGACAGTGGCTTGACAGAACGGAGACCCTGAGGCCTTGAGAAAATCGGGAAAAATCAAAAGTTTTAGTGCCAACGTGGTGGGAGGGTCCAGGCCGACCCGCCTGTCGAGTTTCAAGACGTTATCACAATTTTTGATTTTCAGCTTCCATACGTATTTTGAGTGAGCCGGAAGAAGAACATGTGATGGTCAGTATCATGGACCAGAACCCTAGGTCGCAGAATTATAACCTTGTGAAATGGGTACCAACTACTCTACCTTTAATATACAATTCACCTAATCTGATCCTTCAGAGATAAAATCAAGGTAACAACTGTGAAATCGTATTCAGCTTCTTATGTAGACCTGTGCAAAGAAATTCAACATACCAAGCTGGATAACGGGATGATTTTGATTTTCTAATTGAGAATTTCATCGTCATGCTATGAAATATACCGTTAGTTCCAACTTATGACGTCTCCATTTCTCAACTGTTTAGGTACTTTAAATCATGTAACATGTATTCAAATTTCATGAAAAGCCACATTTCGCTTATGACTAAACTTTCTAATTAAGGCTTCATCATCTGGGGCCTCGTTAATTCATTCCATATAAAGTCTATGGTAGACATCAATCAAACACCAAACTTAACGGATTGGATACTTTACTCAGGTTCTGCTACGTTTCATCGTATCCGAGGCTTCGGACGTTGTATATTCTGTCAGTAACTGGTTCGTCTGGTTATTCGAGTATTTCCCGGGCTTTATTTTAATATTGCTCACTGCAGAACAACAAACAAATAAATGACTAGCATGTGACCCATGCATCCTGTCCTAATACCAGATACTTCATGTGCGCCTGTAGCTATGAACCTAGGCTTCAACATGTGCTTCTCTGTTTTTGTTGCAGACTTCCGGAAGGTTTGCTGACACATCAGATGCCCCGGTGGAAGGACCAAGTGGCTCAAACGATGAGGAGCAAACAGAATCGTTCATCACGAACAGGGTTTTATAATTATTGGAATTAATTTTCATATTATTTACACATTAAGGACACGGGATCCGCATTCACTTTACTTTTCTCAGCATTTGTACATCCTATTCAAGTAATTAAGACAATACTTAGTCGTTACTCTACTTTTCTAACATCCTCTTCCAAACACAATTATGTTTAATTCACCTGTCTTCACTGAAGGTTTCTCTGCGTATATTTAGCTAATAATAATGCCATCAACCAAATGTATTTTATATATTATTATTAGTTGTAGTAGTATGTACAGATTGAAATAAAAATAAATGCAGCAAAGAGGGTTTGGTTGATCCTGGCACAGACAGACTGGTTAGGCTCATCATCAGTTCATGGCCCTTGCCCCCTCTACACGCAGTCCAAACAGCGAATGGGACTTCTCCTAGGAAGCGCTGCCTAATCAAACCAACCCACAACTTTTTGGAGAATGTGAAGACTCCCCAACTCTGCAGCCTTCTGCATTACCCAGATTGTCAGAAGGGCTGTATTCCTTGTAGCAAACCCGGGTATTCTCCCAATGTCAGTCAACAGATTGGGGTACCAAACCTAAGACACCGACGACAGTGGCTTGACAGAACGGAGACCCTGAGGCCTTGAGAAAATCGGGAAAAATCCAAAGTTTT